CACAACAATTGCCCATTGATGACATTTATTGGCCATCACTGATACGATGTTGGTACACAACAGGTTTGTTTGTTTGTTTCTTCCTTACATGGATGCATCTACATGATGTCACGGCATTGATCAATGTAGCGTACCAGTCCAGTGTGTAAGGGGCACGTCCGGGTCCAACTATGTAACCGAAGACTCGCCTCTAATGGCGCCCACAGCTGCCACCGAACCTCTGAAAACTCCCCCACGAAAACAAGAGAAAATGTCTGCAAGCCATAAATCAGAGGAATAGAACTCTCCTCTTTCACCTCCTTTGCTCGAATGCGTTCACTCAGCTCAGAAAAGATCCCAATCGGCCGCAATGTGTCCAAAATAGATTGCGCAGATTCTATGTATCAATCCTTCCAAATCCAGCCACTTTGAACGCAAATCGGCCACGCCATTGAAATCCAACACAAAATGTTCTCGGCGATAGTTTTCCTCGCATAATACACAATCGACCAGCTCGTCAGCATCTTGCATTAGTCTGAAACTGCCAAGGCGGCAGTGGCCAGTCATAAAACGCGCCACCCGAACATACTCGGAGCGTTGGCAATGATCAGCATCAACAGATTCCAGGGCGCTTCAGAATCCGGTGGAAGGTCATGCGAAAGCGTCCGGTGTCAGCGTTGTGCCATCGACGCTGCCATTCATCGAGCAGGGCCTCGTCCACCATTTTCAGGACTTGTCGCTGCTGCGCACGAAGAATGTCCACTGATTGTCGTCTGACTATCGTCGCCGGAACCAAACCCCGCCCAGCTCGTCCGGTGTAGCATAGTAGGATCGGTAGGTCGTGGTAGGGGCCGTGCTCAGGGCCGCTCTGCGGTACCTGTACATGTACCTCACGAGCGATTTCATGATGTGCAATCTGGCTGTACCAATGCCTGTCAGTGCAAGAGATGCCTCAATAGATGTAAAACATTCCAAAGTGAAAGCTACAGCCTGTGCCAAAATTCCATCGATCTCGTCTAATCTGCACTTGATTCCCAAACCGCAGCCCAAGGGGGGGCCCCACAGAAAAGGGGTGGAATGAACGCCACCTCAATAATCACAAGAAAAGTTGAGGATGCAGGTCCCAGCTGGTCCCAACTCCCATTTTCAGTGCCTATATCCGGGCTCTTGCTTTAGCCACAGTCTCGCGAACGTGGCGATTCCAAGTTATGTGTGCATCAAATCAAACACCAAGATAACGCATCTCATGATTGTATGGCAGCTTCTCCCCATACAGAAAGGCAGGAAATTATCTTTTCGCGACTATTTTTTTCCTACTGAAAGTCATGCACTCGCATTTCTGTGGGTGAAATCGCATGCGCCATTGATTGAACCACTTCTTCGCTCTCCGCAAGGCATGTCGAAGCGTTGGATGAATTGTTCCAGAACGAAGAGCGCCGCAGATCCACAAATCTAAATCATCTGCAAAGTCTTGGGGATGGAGTCGTCGCAATGCATCAAGGCTGCGCAGTAAATCATTGATATAAAATAAAAACAAAGTAGATGAAAGTGCCAACCCTTGGGGAACACCACATTGTGTCAGAATTGTATTGGTGTGATCCCCCACATCAACACAAGCTACCCGTTTGCTCAAAAAGGGCTGGACCCAGCCCACCAAGTAATCGTCAATTCCTAATGCCTCTAATTTGAAAAGAATACCCGCATGCCATACGGTGTACACAGTATGACATGTCATACGCAGCTTGCAAGTTTAAAGTAATTAATTGTGCTTGTTCTTCTTTTTGAAAAGAAGAATAAATCTCATGTACCAATATCATGCACGCAGTAAACTTTTGCCTATTTTTGTTAAAGCCATATTGGTGAGGTGCCATCAAACCTTGCGAATCAAGCTGATTCATCAGCCGTCTGTTCACAATCATCTCAAGGGCCTTGCCCATGTGAGAGAGCAAACTGATTGGTCGGTAGCTGCGAGGGGCATTGTATCCCGATTTCCCCGGTTTCCTGAGTGGTATAAACTTGGCTGTCCTCCAAGTGCTGGAGAAGTGACGGAGGAATAGAGAAGCTGTGTATATTCGTGCCAGCCATGGAGCAAGAAGAAAGAGATTCTGTCGAAGCACTCCCACTGTGATGAGTTCCAATCCTGGGGCTGCCTTGCATTTCATGGACTTGATTGCCTTCTGCACTTCATCCACCGTCACTGCCACTGATTATGGGTCACCTGGAGGTCTGTGGGTGCTCCAGGCAAAGCGTATGTCTTGTTGAATTTGCGACGTAGCGGGTCGTGAAGATGGGAAGAAAAGCGATGCCAAAGCGGTGGCTTTGCCTTCGTCAGAAACGATTGTTTTCTAATCAATTTTCAAGTGTTCTACAGCTGCAAGGTCTCCTCGTCGAGTAAATTTCTTGTAGAGTGTCTACATGTCAGCTGCTGAAGTTTTAGAGCAGAGACGTCGCCAGGTGTCACGCTTGGCTGTCGCCAAGTCTCGTCGACATTTCTTTCTTGTTCTGAGAAAGCGTTCCCGTGCATACACTCGTCCTGTTCGTGTCCATATCCTGCGCCAATGATTCATTGTGGAGGGGCTCGAGTTCAGACCAGAGTTCCACCATGGGCGAGAGAATCGGCACAATCTCTTCTGAGGCACCGCTTGGCGAATTGTCTCCTTGAATGCAGCCCGTCAGGTGGTCCACAATAGAATCGAGATCATTGGTCGTCATGATGGGCTGATCGGGTGCTGTTTGTTTGTTTCTTGTTTGTTTGTTTGTTTGTTTGTTTGTGTGTTTGCCCCTTACATCGATGCGAAATGACGTCACGGCATCGATCAAAGGAGCGAACCAAACCAGTGAGCGAGGTGCACGTCCAGGCCCACAACAGCCTTTCGTGCAAAATGTCGTTAGTGAGCCAATAACACAATTAGTGTGCAACATCTTGATTTCCAAGCAAATTGTAAAAACTATTGTGTTCAATATGTGCAATCGACCCATAATGCAATAGACATGCTCAAGATCAAAGAAAAACATATTTGGAAGTTGCGCAACATTACCATATCTACACCTGTGTAATATCCACTAACGACATTTTGCACGAAAAGGTGTTCCACCTATGTAACCAGAGCGTGCCTCTAATGGCGGCACAGCTGCCACCGATCCCAACGCCAACAGGTTCAAAACGGAGCGTGAAAGCGACCGTGTTTTGGAAGACGTGTTCACTACAGACAAAACTTCTCTTTCCCTGTCCTTCCTGGAGCACCGGCTTCCACATTTTTGTCGGTACCCCAGGAAATCGGGACCCAGGGCAGGCCGCACTGAGCAGCAGAGATCGACACAGCAGTTTAGAACCCTCCCCTTTGAGCGCCATCCTGAGAACCAATCTGGTTGTTTCTGTTTGCGCTCCAAGTGTTTCGTCGCAAAAGAGTCCTAGCGTTGCGAAAAAAGTCGCCCAATTCTGGGACAGGTCCGCAAACCGCCAGGCTGCTGGGTGGTCGTGGCAGCATTCGGAATGTTCCTACCCCAGAACCTGTGAAAGCCAGAATTACAGCAGATTGGCATGTTCGGCAATTTCGATCGCCAAACTTGTGTTCTCGTCGTTGAGTACTCATAGGCCACTTCGACGCCCGGGACGATCCTTAAGCGTTCCTTCGAAGCAAGTGAGAGTGAGAGTTGCCCAACACAGTCCGCATAATGGTCCTAGAAGTCGGCTCATCGACACATCTTTGGGCTTTGGTTTAGTGAACTCATGGATCGCAGCTCTCAAAGCGATGATATTGGTGGCACAGCCATTGCACTTTACGGAAAAGGAACAGCGCCGAGATATCCGACAAGCTGTTGCTCCGGATCGTATCTCCAAACCAGGCTTATGCGCAAAGTTGGCGTGTTCCTGAGATCATGGGCATTCTGCGTGAGGACTGATGCCCTCAACCGCGCTCAATGTGCAACAGTTACCCCTTGTCTCTTTCCGGCAACTGGTCAAAGAATTGCTCCTGCACACGCACAACACTCACTTCGATTACGACATCGATTGGACAATTGTTTTGCCGCCACGAACTCCGTCACTTGTGTGTCTGACAGGCGGAAGTTCGGAACGCCCCTCGTGGGCGATGCCTCATACTGGAGGGGCCCGTGCTCGAGAGTGGAACATTGAGGGCCACAAGTATCGGAGTCCCAAAGAATAACAGAGACCAGAAATACATGGCACCATCATCATCCGTGGGCTGGATGATACCGTCAAAAGAATTAACCCCGCCAAAGAACTACGAACACACTTCTAGATCTATGTCCTCTCCCGCCAGGGTAGGCTCCAATGCGGACATGGCGTACAGACGACATTATCTGGCCAGCCACGTGCAGCTCTGTCAATCTGCTGCCTTTCCCCACTCCCTAGTCCACACTTGCTCGACAACATCTGATCGCCGCCACAGCACAGGTGGTAGTACGTGCTCTGCATGCACATCATTTTGACGCTATCTTTCTTCACTATTTTTTTCATTATCCGTAATCACACAACCTCAAATGATCTCAACTGACTTCAAGTGATCTCATCTGACCTTTACCTCAACCGTGCGTCTGATCTGCATGGGCTGAAAGGCGCATGGACAATTCAATCATGTGTTCAAATGTGTCCTGACCGACAGAACACCTCCAGCACAGTCGACATGCAGCCACCACCATCCTCTGCGATGCCTCAAATCGCCTGCTGGTGACAAGCAGCTGACCTGCACAGTGATGCAGTCTTTGACCGCCGGCTCTGTGAGTCTGTACAATTCAACACCTCAAGCGCGAAGCCCTGTATCCATCCCCTACATAACCCAATTGTTCTCTTTGTCACTCCGGCATTTTCAGCATTTTGGATGCACCTCAAACGCCCCAACAAAGCCTGAAAAACAATGATTCGGCAAAAGATAGAGGAAGTAATAAATTCTTGTTCCCCCTGCACTCTCAGGCAAACAGGCCATCTGCAGGCACAAAGCTCCGGCAAACACAGCCAGCACAGCACTTGGGGCATTGCCGCAGCCTGCTCACCGCCTCGTTCACACCCCTGGTTTCCGGTAGTCTGCATAATACCCGCCAATGTTCATCTTCAGCCCAGACTTCACGGTTCCTGCAACCTCGTCGCCAGGGTCCTGCCACATGCTCCCAGGTATGACACGGAAATCCACAGAAACGCGGGTGATCCCCGTTTTGTTGAGCTCGTTGTAGTGCCAACAGCGGTTGCCATAGAATCGAAACATCTGGCCGTATTCGCACTGCACCGGTTGAAAGTCGCCCTTGTCAGGCTGGGACTCGACGTACATGCCATTGGAGTCCCACACTCTCGTGAAAGGCATCCAGAAGTTGATTTCCCCAGGCGGGTGGTTGTAGTCGCCATCTCGGTGCCTTTGGCCCACGGCAACGTTGTTAGGCAGGCACACGCGGAAGGTGGGGCGTTTTTGGTAGACGATGTAGTCGTCCTGTGTGGTGTGATTGTTGCCTTTCAGTAACAAGCATGAGTAGGGGTTGTGGGACTGATCATTTTCGGGGGGGAGGGGGAGATTCAAGGGCTCCACCATACGCCATTCCATTTGATATATGCTGTGGAACCAAACATGTCATGCATGAATGATGGCTCGACAATATTGTGCTCCTTGCAGAATGCAACAACAATCTGCTCATATCAGTTTGTTTCAGTCCAGTCACAAACAAGTGCAAAGCTGTGCACTAAGTCTTGTAGCATTCTATCCCGAAAAGGCAAAACGAGGGCCTGTGCCTGATAACATGTGCCCCACCCTTTCAGGAAAGCTGACAAAAACTATAAAGTATCCAGCACTGAGCATGAGGTAGGAAAGCAAAATAATTTACAGCTCAAAAGGGTGTTGAGTTAACACTGCTCATGAACGGAACACCCTTTCAGGCAAATGATTCATCTGCAGAGCACTTTGTTGCAGGTCGAACATGCACGCAATGGACAATTCTGACAGCTGTTCTTAATATGTGTGATATCTTATCAGCTTCATCAATGTTTTTGTTCGTTCGTGCTGTGATATTTGCAGTACATACCCTTATTTATGTCGATCGTCAGGGATAAAAAACTTGAAGCAAACAACTGCAGCCACTCCTTGCCTGCACTTGCCTTGAACATCGGCGCCACCTGCTCCCTCACAAACTTGTGGTACAGCTCCTCAAAGGTCATCAATTCTGGGGACTCGTAAAATTTGAGGTGGAAGGGCGTCCGTTGGTCGTTTTCGAAGGTGACATGGATCCCCGTGCCGCCATCGGGCAGGGACTCGTGCAGCTGCTCCAGGTCCTGCCAGCCCAGGATGCTCTGCATGGTGGCCAGGAATGGGTAGGCTGCAGTGTCAAATGGCAGGTATGCCCGGCCCGTCGACAGCTCCTCGAAAGTGGCCATCCCCGGGGCCCTAACGTGGTGGATCTGCTGCCAGTGGCGAAGGGGCGGGCAGGAGCAGTCGCCTGGCGGATATGCTAAGATGGAGTTAGAATATCAGGCAGCATGTGAGGTATTGAAACTCCCCATCTCCTTGACAAACATATCTGCGATCAATGATGGACGATGTCCTCCCGTGGACATCGCCCATCGTCCATCATTGATCCCATGGTCTTCGTTGGACAATGTTTGGGGTGCCAGCAGGGCGGCAGATGGGGGGTTGGGTGGTTGCCTGTCAGGCATACGTTGAGACACAGATAGGCAATGGGACAGCTCGCAACGTTTTGAGAGATTCCATATTTCTCATGGACTAAGGTTGGGCCCTTTGCCTGCTTTGTGGTGGTATGGAAACTGCCATCTACAAAAAGGAACTCAAATGAATAAATGTGGGCATTACATTGAGTTCAGATCATCGGACTCCATTGCTACAAAGACCACCTAATGCCAGAAAATGAACACCCCAGTACCCAATTCACAAGGGAAGAAGGCGAAGTCGAAGATACGTGCTTCCAAAAGTAACATTCAAAACAGCAAAAACAGGTACTGCCTTGCAGGCACACTTTGTGAGGAGGATTTTGCGATTTGTGCTTGCCCTATCAAGGGTTAAAAAAGGGAAGAGAATCTGCTTTGACCCATTTACCTCCAAATGACAAAGCACTGCCCTTGTTTGGACCCAAACCCCAACCCATCCCTGCCCTCCTTGGGCAAGACTTTTTGTGACACAATGCTCCATATTGTGGAAGAAAATGGTGAAATCTCACAGTAAGTGCCACTGTGAGTGAGTTGGCTTGAAGTGCATCGGCTGCGACCATTTGGCCTGACAGCTGAAGTTGGCCAACAACACAGAAACTCCTACGGGGTGTCAGATGGCAAAGGGCTCAGCATTTGTCCAGTCAACAAATCCGTACACAGCTAGAGAAGCAAGAACTAACAATGGGCAGGCCATTGAAAGGGCTGACATCAGCGGCTTTAGGTCAGCGACAGCTGTTGGGCATAGTGAGCTGAGAGGAAGACTGCCCGTGACCTTCCTGATCCCAAATCCAAAGCAGCTCCCAAGTCGTTGCTGCGGACAGCAGCATTGCCTGTGTGGGAGGACAATGCTGTACCTGTATAATGCGATCGCCGTTATGCAGCGGACCATGAAGGATGAACGAATTCTGCCGTCATGCCAAGATCCTGTTTTGAGAGAGAGGCATGCAACTTGCAATGGATGTGGCCGTGTCAATCCTTTGCTACAAGCAACCACAGGATGGCTGCCACATCATGTGAGTTGAACATTATCTGAAGTGCTACCAAGTACCAAATGAATTCTTTCGATTGCCATAGATCGTCCTTGCAAAGTATTCAGTCAACTGAGGGTTGCCCTGGGTGTGGACTACTGTCCCAAGACACTCATTAGCACATTCGATGTATTTGGGCCGGAAAGGAGGATTGGAACTCCCAATCACGGGCTCTTACTCTCTCAAGATCCAGTGTTCTGCCAGGTCAGACAGCTGCATGTAACAGCTGGGGGGATTCGATGTGCCATTTCAAATTGGCCTGTCACAACGGCACTAGCAACGAATTTCTGCATGTTTGGCCATCTATTCATTCCCCACAATGGCAACACGTCCTAGTACTCCACATGCTGCTCTATGTTGTGCGTTCCCTAATGCGCTTTGAGATGTCCACAGATTTTCTTTCAAGGAATGGAGAGAGTTTTAAAGTCGTTGTTGCTCAAGAGGATATGCCCAAAGCATGACGTTTTCCCTTGACGAAAAAAACTTGGTACTGCAGGTGCTGATGTGGTCCCACAGTGTGCAGGAGGTGGGAGCGGCGTGAAGCAGCATACTGTCAAGGGGCACTGGCGCAACTTCGAAGTTGACGATTGGCAGCTGATGGACCATGTATAGAATGCGCATCAAGGACAAAACTGCGAACCTCTTAAGGTGCATCGGGGAAATTTCAACCATCTACAATTTCATCGAGCTGCGTCAACGATACTTCGCACGCCCTTCACTCAATTCCGCTACAGCCATTCATGTTGAAGGCCAGAGTATGGCGGGATACGCGGCCGAGAGAATAGCCAGGCTGCATTCCGCGTTCGAAAGGACCTCAGCCGTCTGCGCGAGCGAAAGTACGGCCGCCATGGGCGGCAGCGCCACCCGCGCAACGTCCCGCGTTACGCCGACGCCACCCACGATTTCCACCTCACCAACCATTGCCCCTTAATATACCACCCCCACCCCCCGGCCCCCGAGCTTTGCAACTCGTGCGACCGACATCCTTCAAAGGCGGCACTGCCGTGATCCGGCCAGCGTATGTGACTCCCCAATGGGCGCTCCGCCAGCGCCCAGCCCAGAAATTCTACCTGCCAGATGCAGGCGACGATCTCCGCTGCGGCGCTTCCGCTGCCGGTCGCGCCTTCGTGCGCAGCGTCCCCTCCGGTCCGACTGCGGGGCGGGGAGGGTGGGCCAGTCGCCGAAGGGGAGGGCAGGGCCGGATGGCGCGGGGCTGGGTGCTCCTCGGGTTGTCGGGCATGTGTGCCAGGGTGCTGTGCGGAAAGACTGATGTCTGTGGGGAGTGGTGCTGTACGTATGATAGGGGAGCCAATTAAGGGCAATCGGCTGTAGTGAATGAATGGGGACGGGTTTGGGATTGGCTCGTAGTTGGGGATGGAGGCGAGAATAGGAGCTGAGTTAGAAAGGGTGTAAGGGAGAGTGGGAGTGAGTAGTGTACGCGGGTAGCTGCTGGGCTAGTTGGCAATGGATCATAGTTGGTCTGGGCGGCGGGAATAGAAACTTGGCATGAGAAAAGGACACGAACCCCAGCTCGTGAAAGTGGCCAGAGTGGGTATTCTGGAGACAGCAACTGATGAACCGTCACACAATCGCACTATAAATGCCACTCGCTTCAGTGGTAATGATGGGTTCGGATCGTGAGTGACAGACTTGTCTTCCCCGCACATGACCATCGTGAACGCCTCCCGTACCCACGGGGTCGCAGCAGCCCAAAGGCTCATTGTGCACTTGAGCCGCCCAAAGGCCGACATGTCCACGCAACGTGGTCAAGCATCTCGCCAAACGTGTTCAATTGACACCATTCCATGTAATTGATGTGGCAGCCAGAAATCTTAACAGTGTTGTAACTGGAACTGATTCAGTATTATTACAACTGGACGCACAAAGAAGTGATGAGGCACTGGGAATTGCATCAAGGACGTCGATAAACGGGCTGGATATAAGGGACAGAAGTCCTTTTGTTCCTTTGTCTCGGCTGTAAACCGTTGCCCGTGGACTCGAATCTACAATCCCCGTTCAAACGTCGCCATCCCTCGACCCTGCCTGCCTTCGTCAACAGGTCGGGACCTTTAATTTCCCTGGCAGCAGGGATCCCTCCCGGAGTGGGTCTCAATGCCACAAAGTTATTGATACTGGGCGCAGCGGCGGTATGATTGATACAACGCATCGGTCGCTCTGCATTGCAGGTCGCTCTGGGTCACTGACTTATAAAATAACTCCTTGTGTCCCATCCAGAGGGGACCGGAACTGGGCACAACTCTGCCCTTGCAGAAAAGTGTGTACAAACACACTGCAGAACACGTGCACTGGTACAAAACTCCTGTGTTGCAAGATGTGCTGGAAGCACCACCACAAGGACACTGTTTTCTCTGGTCAAAACAGCACCGAAATGTCCATGAACAGGACCAAGAAAATACAGGAACTGGAATAATTTGCCTGCTAGGAACAAACGGGGAATGCCCCCGGTGTGGACACTGTGCTGCAAAAAAATATGCGCAGGCGCTCGTTTGAGTGCCGGCGCTGGGCGGAAACAAGGGTCCCCAGCTTGCACCCCACGTTCTACTTGCCCTTGCGGAACAGTGCACCAAACCATAGATAGTAGCCCTCTGAGGCCTTTTTGGAGCTCTCAATTGACGCTCGGCGCAGATCCCGGCATCCCGATAAAAAGGAACAACTGGGCCGTTGTCGCAGAGGGGGACGATTGTGGCACTGCCACAAAAAGAGCAACGCTGTGGCAGAAGCGAACAAAACTGTCGCAAAAAGAACTGTTTCACTGTCGCAAAAGAATGGAAAAGACAGGATTGGCAGCACAAGGTTTGTCTGAAGACCTGGCAAATGGGTCATCGTCCAGGCAAGCACGCAGGCTGAAGACCTATTCGGGAACATGCATCGCGCTGCCTGCACCCGGCAACCCGCTCCCACCGGCCGCCATGGAGCCTGCGGGGGCGGGCCCGGAGGCCCAGCGCCGGGACGCTGCCTGGGACCTGCTCCGCCGCATATGCGCGTGGCTCCACGGCGTCTTCTGCCCGCAATGGCCGGAAACTGAATCGGGGGACTCAACAAGAGGCCGCAGGGCGGAACAGAGGATGTTTCGTGGTGATGGGGCGCGGACAGATCGTGGCTGCGAGTACGGCCCCGTCTGCGTCGGGTGCATCGAGCTGAGGGACATAATGCTGCGCAGCGGCGCGGCCATGCGGAATCGGTACGGAGCGTTCTACAATCCGGGGAACGAACCGTGGGCGGCCGCCAGCGCGGCGATCGGCGGGGGGGGATCCCGGCAGGGGAGGCTGGGGGGCTCTTGAGGAGGGCTTCGGCGCACGTTCCTGGGGCCTGGTGGCGGCTCCCTCTGGTTGGGAAGCAGCGCGGGCGGTAGTGTCCAAGGTGTCGTCAGTACTTTGGCCACCGGGGCGCGTTTTCCGGCACTTTGGGCGGGGGCGGGGGCTGGTCGTATCTGTAGTTTGGGTTGCCGGGGGCGGGTTGACCGGTAGACGCATGGGAACCCGCGCCACGGCGACGTTTTACCGGGTCGCCACCTGTCGGAGCGAGACGTAGATGGGATGGCTCGGAGTCGAGAGGCGAGTCGGCTCCAGCGCGGGCGGAGGGTGAGATTTGCTGCAAAGGGAAACGGAGAAACGGAGAAAGGAAAACGGGTCTTCCAGTGGCACCCCCTCCTGAGCAAGCGTGCGCAAGGCTCTTGTCCACGCGGTGAAAAAATGATGTAGAGCGGCACGACGAGGTTGTGGGGAAGTGGACGTCGGATCTGTCTGCCATGGGAGCGGCACGTCGGGTGTGGCCGTTGGGGCGATGGGCCAGATGGGCCGAAGGCGCCGCGCGAGGAACGGGCGGGGCATTTACCCGGCCTCTCACAAAGGGCTGGTCTGCCGGCCAGCGTGCGGAGAGAGCTGTGTCCACGTCGCGGTGTCAGACTGTCCTGACGCCGGCTCAGCGGTGAGTGGTGGGCTGGGGGGCTGTCGGAGCGGACGAGAACTGCCGCGGATCTGTGGGCGAATGGCTGATCGGAACATGCCTCCTTCTCCCCGGCCTGCCGTGAAGGCGGCGCAGGGCAGGGCGGCGGTGCGGGCGCCTTTCCGGCCCCACACGCGACGTACTGCAATTTATGCAATCCATTCAATGAAATCGCAGCGGCGGCCCTTTGCGTTTGGGTGGAGCATGCAGGCCAACCGGAAGACTGAGGATGGGATTCTGGTGTTTGACGCAAGGAAATCGACGAACTGGTGAGCTGTCAGTGCAGTGCTCCCAGCATTTGGCCAGCTGCCCAGGCGTCGCGGGGCAGCGGTCGTGGGGGGACTCCGCAAGAAGGTGAAAGGGCCGCTCGCTTTGCTTCGTATGGGATTGCGCGGGCACCAAAAGTGGCTGGCGCCCGCTCTGTGGGTGCGGAAGTCGTGGAGCGCCTGCGGGGTTTGATGTGCAAGGCGACGCTGCCGCAGTCTCAACTTGTGCCGTTCCAGCGACGGTGGCCAATCGTGGGGCCGCTGGGAGGTTGGAGTTTCTGGATCGAAGTCGGTAGCGGCGGGAGGCCCGAGTTCAATGAGCCCAACCCATGGGAAAGAGAACGGGTCCTGGGGAAGTGGATGCCGTTTGTTGTCGGCGAACCTGCCTTCTGTGTTGTGAGTTTCCTCAGCAGGGGCCTGCTACCCTGGGCTCGATACAGGCAGGGCTGCAAGCTTGGCTGCTGCCTTTGCACCTGCAATGCGGCTATGGGCAGGGGTGGCACTGGCAAGGGGGGATCGTGTAACGAGGGCAGGTATTGGGTGCAAATGCTCTGGCCTGGCCTGCTGCCTGGGAGGCACTGCACTGGTCAATGCTCTCGATGACGATGGCCAGAATCAGGGAATGTTAGCATGACGACTGACTTTGGTGGTCATCTGGTTCATTCTGCCTCTAGTCAGCTGAACCTGCACAGTGACTGTATGTCCAGTGCCGTCGGTAGATTGCAGGCGCATACGTACGAAGCCACCAGGATGTTGCTCAGTTTGCAGCCAGGTGGCAACAGGTAGTCTCTGGTCAACAAACTAGTGAAGAACATAGGACACAGTTGGTTCATTCACACCGATGTTAGCAGCTCTGTATAAGTAAAATCATCTGTTGGCTTCGATTAGCGTGTCAATTAATGTGTCCCAAGAGACAGCCAACACACTATCAACCCATCATTTCAAGGAAGCACCAGACATAACAGTGGAAAGTGCTCATCTTCTTTCATTAGGTTGCTGTGTTCCTGCAGGTACCGCAGCATTTGAAGGCACCGGAGTGTTGACAGCACTGCAAGATCATCTATGCAGTTCTGCAGATTGGCAATTTACTCCTTTTTGGAAATCAGCCTCTGTGAAACGCATTCTATGCACTGGGTGGCCTGTGTCATAGTAGCAATTACAAGATGATCTGCAGCTCAAATCAATTCCCAGAAAGAAGATAAATTCGTACACTTTTACTTGCACAACAGAGAATTATGGCCCATCACCGCAACACAACAGATTTGCAAATATTTCCTTTCACCAGAACTGGCTTGCAGTCCCTGTTCCTTACCCTAGCAGAGGTAGCTGGTGACAGATTCCAGACTCCCATCGGGATCACGTCATGCAAACCCCAGTGACGTCTTCGTTGCAATATATGACCCCATCAAACGTAAACGACCCTTATTGCTTCTAATGTCAAAAACATCTAGTTTACATATCAACAAACTGTTTGAATTGCCCAGCACTATCCCCACTACCTCAGCTCCGGCCCAGAATGTAGTCTTTAGCCGAATATCCTGCCAAAGAAATCTTTGGCGCCGCCAACCACGTCTGGAGGACGAACAGTGAGCCCCAGCTCGACGCAGGCCAGCACCACATCCTCGTTCCCTGGTGTCTTGTCCAATGCTTCGATCCTGACGTTGTAGTCACCCTGAATATGGCACAACAGTGCCCTGTGAGGAATACCCAACATAGCGATGATGCAAGCATTCAGCGACGCCCCATACCAGCCAGTGCAGCCAGCCGCTTAAATCACACATAACACTAAGGGCGACACTTGCCAGAAACCTAACCATTGGCTTCCACATCGCTCAGGTCACAGTTGTCCTATTGCAGGGAATAGCAGCAGTTGGCAGTTGTCAAAAGGAGTAGCTTAAGTCACAAGGCCTCTCAGCTTGGCTGCATTTGTTGAAACCCAGCTGAGAGTTGTTCGTGCACGTCCAAGGTGCTGACAGGCACAACACTCCGAATATTGTTCTTTCCGGAGTGGCCGTTCCTTTTCTGCATACCGGTGGAGCGATAGAAGGGATCTTTTCCTCTGCCGATGCACCAATTTCGCCTGGTGCCAGTGGGCAGTCCAGCAGCTCGCAGAGGTCTAGGGTGCCATCACCAACCTCCAGGCTCCCGAGCTCGACGACAAACTTGACCTCTGCGGCTTCGACGGGTGCATCGCCTGCAGCCCAGTACATGTGCAAAGTTGTTCAGATGAACGCACAATGCACTCCAATGAGCCACAAGGTTAAACGTCAGCACAAGGCAACATTGATGTCAATCGAATCACGTCTTCTCTAGGGGATGGCTGATGTGGTCATCTGTGGCTGCTGTGTCAGGGATTTTGCAAGATATGAGCTTGTAAACTGGTGACATGGCCATCAAGGCAGTGGAAAGCAGAGGGAGCAGAGAGCATGGCTTGGGCTTGGTGTTATTCCAAACTGCTGACACCATGCTTGTAGCAGCAGAAAATCTCAATGCAACAAAATGGCACATGTTTATTCCTTTCACAGCAAGTGCAATATCCTTGGATGCAGGCAAGAGCAAAACCAGTATGAAATCGCATCAGCACATTCACCAACCTAATGGAGTGAAAAGCTGTGTGCAGATGGACACGAAAAAGATTAAGAAAAGGAGGAGGCGGGACAGCATTCACACAACTTCCACTGGACAAAGTTTACAACCATCCATGTCGCACCATCACACTATAGACAGCGTTGCCAAAGCGCTGCTTTGAACAACTTGCCACGACCCAGCACAATCAGTTTTCCTGCCCTTGCACATGCCTGCCACAGATGAGACTCTCAGGAGCGATATTGAACATTTCCTTTCCAGGAAACGCAAGAAAAATGCTATGGTCAATGTGCGCACCGCTCCTGAAGTTAGCCGAGCTCGGTGCGTCATTCTTCTACAGATACAATCCAGCAACCATACAAATAAAATACAATCCAAGAAGCCGCAATCGCCAACGCCATCAGATCAGGGACACTGCACAGGTCACCAAGGAGCTGGAGGTACCCCTGATTGGCGGAACCAAGAGTATGGTGGTATAGATGGGCTGGTGGTACGTGCGCCGGGTGGAGCTGGGCGACGAGGAGCGGCGAGTGTGCGACAGGCGCGCGATGTTGCAGGACAGCCCAAAAAACACCCGAACGGTCAACCACGGCCAGCAACGACGAGGCAGCGCCAGCGCTGGTGTCGACCCACTGCAACGACCCCATTGCCAACCAACAGCCAACCAACAGCCATCCAACAGCCATACAGCAGCCATCCAACAGCCATCCAATGCCCCACAGCAGTGCGCAGAGTCAACAGCCGCGACAAATCCATGTGCTGCGCCCGCGCCCCGCGCACAATCTCTCAACAGCGGCAGCAATTTTCCCCCTTCACCCCCTGCCGCCCTCGCGGCGACATCAACCCGAACGTCCGCAAGGCATCAAAGCTTCAATCTCACATGAACCCGATCCGATCATCGAACCCGGCCACAGCCAAGCTGGCCGACAACCTCCATGCATGGGGGCCGCGAGGGCGCAGAATATGCCGCTGCCCCCACCTGAGAAGTTCCCCTTGAAGCTGCCCATCACCGTCCGGCCGGGCCGTGGCTTCAGCGGCTCGATGTCCAGCTCCGTCACGCTGAACGGCAGCCCCTCTCCGCACACCTCGTACTCGACCGGCTCCCCCATCGCGCAGACGGCCGCCGCCGCAAGGAAGCAAAGGGCGGGGAGCAATCGGGCCATTGCGCCAACCAAAGATGCGACCCTACCTACAAACTCGGTGGCGGCGGGTCTGAATAGGATGGAATTGGGCTGTCTGGGAAAGGGGCTCAACAGCGAGCGGCGTGCGCCCGCGCCAAGGGCTTCTGCGCTTTTCGCTGTGTGCGCGGCACCAAGGGGGTGAGAAGGCCCCCGTGGCTTATGTTGCCAGGGGGTGGGGTGGTTCCTTGGGCTGGTGTGATGAGTCACTGCCGATGACGCGACGCAGGTGGAAGTTGGGGTTGGGTGCGTGGGGAAGATTGAGAGCGGGAAGTTCTGAGGAAGGGTACGAGGACGGTGGGGAGGGGGGGAGACAGCCGCCTTGCGCGCTGTTTTCTAAATTTGAGGGGTGTGAGGGGCGAGACGCGTTGGGACCGCTGCGAGTCGCACAGACAGCCTGCAACGTGAGCAACAATGTCCGGACTGAAACCCAGCCTCGTGCTGCCATTTCATCCCGCTGGGAACGGACCAGTTACAAGAGGATTTTCACATCACAGTTCGCATCGCTTTTGTGCTGCTGCGCAGCTCTCTCGATCGTGTCGGCAATGAGGACGGGCCTCAGCCGACACGGCTGATGCGCACCACTCACCAAGCCGACTCGTCCCGTGCAAGAATACGCACAATTACCGTAAACGCAACGATGGCGGATATGCCGCAGCGAAGCGAAACGCCCAGCAAGGGCAACAGAGTTGCTGCGCCGAGCGCCACCGCATCAACATACATTTTCTTCTCAAGTACGTTCTCGTCTGCTGCATTTGTCACAAAATGTTGCACGGCATTCGGCTGGCATGGGCTGCTTGGACGATGCCGGAGCCTGGTCATATATGGTTAGTATATACTAACCGAAGATGGCCCCAGTCAATCGCTACAAAAACCGGTCATTTGCACAAGTTCAGCTGCATGTAAATGTTTGCTAAGGCCAGCCGGTTGAGTGATGACTCAAACCGCTTTCTAGCAGTGCTCACAGGCAGCGCGGACACCGCATGAGTGTACACTCAGCGCCGGTCCACAGCGCGCAAATGCTGGTCGGCAGGCTTGGCTTTGCCACCGTGAACACAAAACGTATTAACGTTTGCACGCGTAAAAACAGATTTCACGTTCTTACGCAGAAACATACGCAAATACAACATAAAAAATGTCCGTGTACATTACCCTGTGATGCTTGGTCAACCCGTGACCGACTGTCCCCTGCGCTCGCCATGAGGCGCAGGGGAATGTATAGGCCGTCCGTCAAACATTTCAAGGACGCGCATTTCAAGGCCACCTACAGGCCACCTGTGAATACTGCCAGAAAGCCGTGAAGGGAGATGGTGGGTGACGGTGCTGCCATCTCACTTGCACCATCGCCTCTGGCGTGGCAACAAACACTCACCAAGTGCCCTCGGAGGTCAGGGAGGAGTTCGCGCACCAGCATCCGGTGTGTAAGAAGAAATACGAAGGCAAGAATCTCGACAAGGCTGGAAGCCTATTCACTACAAAGGCGGAGCCTGTGCGCACAGAGCTGGTGATGGGTGGCGCCAGTTCGGTGCCAGCGGCCACCCGCCACCAAGCCGCGGACCTGGTGCCGGGCACCGCTTCAGGCCCAATCGTGGATGGAATGAGAGTTGTGGGGAAGGAGATTGTTGACCGGGCATGGGCCATGGCGTTCTATGGCTGTAAACTACCTTAGAGCGCTGTTGCAGGTGTAGCAACTGTGTTGCGGGTGCTGGAGATGGCGGAGGACTGATCGTTGTACGCGAATTTCATCGTTAACCTGGGTGTCCCAAAGAGGCGCAAAACCGCAAAAGTAGCCGTCACAACAGCCCCTTTCGCAAATTTACGCTTTTAGGTGTAAAACTGTAAACGTAAACGAAAAAGCCAAGCCTACAGGTCGGGCTTGTATACTTGTCAGTCCAGCTCCAAGGCCAAGCACAACTGGTGCTTTGGCCAACACTTGAATGTATCTAGCATATCTAAGAAACAACTGATTAATTGACAGGAAAGCGATACTATGTTTTGCTGCGGCATAGCACATTCGAATATTAAATATTCCCAATATTCCCAATATTCCCAAATTTTGGGAATTCCCAAAAGCAGATGAGATCCAACGCTTTTATGCAAAAGTCTCCAATTGACCCTCTTTCACTGGCATGGTGGACTCGGTGCGGCTTAAACTGCCGCCATTGCGCATAGTACTGCAGATTGGTAATTTGACACGATTTCAGCATGGAATTCCAACGTTAAATTTTGCAAAACTCTGTTCGAAAGGAATTTTCCTACATTGCCACAATTCCCACTGCATGTGGCTGGTTTGCTCGCAATGCCCCTTAGGGTCACCAGGCTGGTGACAAGGCAAAGGTATTGGGATCCCCAACACCGGGTGAGCCACCGGCTAGCGTTGCCCTATCGCCGCTGCGGACCATTATTTAACGGCGCATGTGGTACAAACCCAATGCCACAAGATGCCGTCCAAGCTGGCGGCACTGGACAATTGTACTAACCGCGTGCTTAATACTGGGGCTACTCATGAGCCCATTTTGCCATTAGAATGGCAGAATACGTGCAAAAATGCACTGGATGGCGTGCATTTACTGCCAGAGGCGCCCTGTGGCCCACTTTGTGAGGAAATTGGCGCCCAACGGCATGGCTGTCAGGTGGCATAACGGCAGCCAGCGAATCTTCAAGCATTGCTCCATAACGACATCGCGTGGCACGCCTTGTTCCCTGAATTCATTCCCAAGTTTTTCTGTGTCCAGATTGCCTTTGTTCTTCCATGCGCGTGTGATGTGCATTTGATTTCTGCGGTCTAATGTACCTTTGTCTGCCAGCTGTGTTGTGTGTGATTGCGAATCTATGCATTCCATTGTGTTGCCTTCTCTTGTCGTGATGCGTAGTCTGATGGCGAGTGGTCACATAGGGTTGTCCATTATGAGAGGTATCTTTTGACCAGTTTTGATTCACCACTGTTTTTTCCAAGTGGTTGATGTGTGTTGTGCGATTGGCTGGCTACCACGCTTGGTCCTCTGAGGCGACAATGCAATGCTCGGGTGACCTTACACCTCTGGCTGCGCTCAAAGCAAGTGCCTTTCTGTACCTTAGAGAACATCCCGAACGACAATAGAACATCTGGACAAGCAGCGGTCTTTGAGGAAATTGCCAACCGCAATTGGGTGGAAGAAAGAGGTTCCAGTGGCACGTAACGACAAAGTGCCAAAGTCAAATGGCAAAACACGGCAACTGGAACACCTTAAGGTGTTCCGCACAAGCTTGTGCATCAAACAACGGCCAGGAATAGGGTCTCTGGTGTCACTGTGCCACGCCAGATAAAAATTGGCGCCACAAAAAGTTAGTAAATTTGCCATTTTAACCAAAAAACGGCACCAAGTAGGCGAATTCTCTTAAAAGAATAGGGTCAATGGCGCCTGACGGCATTCGAAACCCAGTGCCGACCTCTGCTGGCGCCCTCTCTTGCACTAGACTCATGAATTACAATTTAGGCATTACATGTTTCAAATTGGGCATGCGCGACATCACCCACGTGTTTGTGCTTGCACGTGTCGAGATACTGAAAATCACGCACGGGGTTTCGCATATGAATTGTGTAGTTGTGTTGAATAGCGTTTGGCTGTGATTCAGACCTGTCCCACTGACTGAGGTGCTGAGGAAACGCGCCTCCTGCGTAAATTATATCATCAATGTGGCGCCCAACGCAAGAAAGCTAACTAGTGTCACGCCTTACCACGTACTGTGCGCAAGACCTGAGCAGCGTCATTGTATTGCTCCTTCTGCGTGAATGGTGGCGCCTTCGAAGATGCTTTGAATTCAAGGTGCCAGCTTGCTTGTGATCATGCGTGAGCATGGGCATATGGCCATGCCATGCTTAGCGCAAGCCATATGGCTTGTGCCAGAAATTTTGCACAAGTCAGCTTGGGCATGAAAAATTTTGAACTGAGCCTGCAGGTTGGAACTTGCATTGTCCAAGTTGGTATCGTCACGACCACCGTGTGCACCGGCGTTCCAACAGGACTTCTGAATAATCTGAGTACTTGCAGCGAGTTCAAGACTTTCACAAACTTCTCCATGTTAATATTTCCACAGCACCTTAGTAAGAAAAGTGCAGCAACGTGGCAAAACATGGGGCAGCGCGTGAATGGATGTCCGGCATACCTACTGTTTGGAGGATTGTGGTCACAAACATAGGCACGATGGGCCCACGATGGGTGACCCACCGCCGCCAAAGCTCAACTGACGCTGACGCATGCCGGCCCCTTGCTTGGCAGGTTGGCTACACGGGAATGTCGGAACAGCTCGGAAATGAACAATGGTTTTGGCCTGCAGCATTTTGATGTCAAAATGGCGGTAATCTACGCCACCCCGGATTTTTTGTGCTTGGAAAGGCATCGATGCCTTTCAGCCACAAAAACTGCGCGGTGGCGTAGATTACCGCCGTTGCGTGTGTCAAAAGAGTTGACAAAAGCACAAACTGTTAATGTGATTGACGATGATGTGTACTTATTGTCACCAGCTAACACACCAGCAAGTCAACCAGCATAAACTGCTTCATTTTTAAAGTTTTCGATTTCGGCTATGTTGGTGGGCGCTTTGGATGTGCCGGGCAATCTGGGAATAGACAGCAGCCGAAATACGTTTCTGACTGCCCCAGTACTTGGCCTCCGCCCACAGGCCGCGCCCGAACGTAGGCCAAGGGACCTGCTGGAATCTTGGCACTAGTTTGGAGGACAGCCAAGGCTTCGTTTTGAAGGGGGCGCCTTGGCGGGCTTTCTCGGTCGGCGTTAGGCCTTCCTACCGAAGGCCTGGCCAAAGACAGGCAACAACCTTGTTTCGCACCCGCTCCCCCCGTGTGAGCCTGAGTTCGGCTCGGTGATTGGGTTAGCTTAAACTACTGGGGACACAGTACTTGGTTTGAGCTGGGAGCCTGGGTTAAGCTGCGGGGAGGTTGAAGTCCATGGCGGTCATGAGCGTCGTCGGTTGGAACATGTATGAGAGCGTCTGTTGTGCATGTGGCCAGCACTGGCACACAGTTGCGCGCGTCGCCCGGGAAGGGGTTCCGTCAAACACAAGTCTGTGAAAGCTGTTCCCGTCCGGTGTCGCCATCACCCCTGGGGCAAATGGAATCACAAGCATCAACGCGGAGGCCTTTGCCCTTGCCAGCAGAAAACACCGCTTGTGTGGGCCCAGGCGAATCGCCTTGCCAGTGTCAAGCTTGAGGCAACCCATTGAACGGGGGTGATTAATAATGCGCAAACGCTACTCCAATCAATCAACGACCCCGCACATGAGGCTTGGTCCCAAAGTATGCCCCCCGGCGTTGGCCCATTTGCGCCCGCGCCCCGTCTGATCTGCCTAATCCCCGGCCCTTAACGCTCGGGGGCAGGGCGCCACCGCCGGCCACAGCAACCACACCACCTCCCTCCGCCCTTCGGCCGCCCGCACTCCCCACCACTCCTCCCCACAGAACCGCCCATCCCCTCCCCGGTGAACCGCATTCTCCCTTGCACGGCCACGGGGAGACATCAATCGCGCCCTTGCGGTCAGATCTGCAACGTAGGGCACCTTGGGCGATTTGAGGGGGACAGCAGGGCGGGGGGGAGCTGCGCGCCCCTGCGCGGGGGTCCGGGTGGAATGGCGTCCTGGAGCTACGCCAAGCGGAGGAAAGAGGTGGGGATCCGCGCGGTGCGGCGTGGCGCGGTAGGAACGCGCCGTTTGCCTACGTGCATGCGCGGCTGGCGGCGCCACGGGGAGGCCTGGGACCGGTGCCTTGGGGCTCGGAGCCGGTCGGGCCGCTCGGCCTGGCCCTGGATCGATGGCGGTGCAGGAGGCCGGCTGGGATCGGGAAATTGGGGCTGGGAGGGTGTGGATCTTGTGCTCTTGGTTGGTGAAGACGCAGGAGTCGGATGGGGGTCGGCGCGACGGTGTGCGGTATGCTGCGCGGGGCGGGCTGTTGTGGGTGGGTTGCATCCGGTTAATTCCGTTCCGCCCCGATGAGCCGCAGGGCTGAAAAGCGGGCCGCGAGGGCGAACGTCTCCTGGTGGCGCGAATAAGTGGGCCTCGATTTTGTGAGGGGTCCTGGGGGTGGCTGTCGTGATTTCGGCGGGATGCATGGTGGAGGCGGTCAAGGTGGGGCGCTGTGGCTTTGGGCGCAGGAGCTGAAGACGCGGATCCGGTACCACAGGCTGAAGCTGACACCTTGCTTCGAGAAGCAGCTGGAGAAGCGCAAGCACCACCTGGAGGAGAAGGTGCGCGTGGGGGGATTGGCTGCGCCCCGCCCGGCGTCGCAGGGTGTGAGAGCACCTCGCCTGGGTCGCGGCCTCCGAGGCAGCGATTCGGGCGGGGCAGGGCGGGGTGGGGAGGGGGGATGGTGGGGCTGGTCGTCGCTCCAGCCGTGTGGCATCCGGCCGGTGGTTGGCCACGCCCAGAGCGGCGGTGTTTTGGAACCTCCCCGTCTTGGCGCGGCCGGCCTGGGGCGCATCGGCGCATCCCTGTCGATCCCGCGACGCTGTCGGTCAGGACAGTGCCTCTGACCTCCACCGGGGGGGGGGAGGGGGGGGAGGCGTGGGCGGGGTGGCCAGCGGACGGGCGAGCTGTCCATGCCTCGTTTGAGGGGGTTGCCACGGTCCCCGGTTATGAGAGGCGCCACCGAGCGATGGCGATGGTGCCCGGCGCCCTCGGATGGGACGGGTGCTGGGGAAAACTCGCCGCACCTGCAGGCGAGAGCAAGCTACGGTCGCACACGGCCCCCGGCTGCGCCGAACAGGCTGTGTTCAATTCCTCGGGCCCGGGATGCGTGACAGGTCGCACGGTGGCCGGCGGGGTGTGTGTGGGAGGGTCGGCCGCGGCTGCCTGAAGGCGCCTCTGTGCGCGAACAACGAGTGGCGGCGCTGCCAGTCCGTTGGGCTGGCGTTCTGGCCACTTTGTTGATCGTTTGGGTATGCTGGAGTGGCACGATCTTTCAGCCGACGAGCCGAGCTTGCTGGTCCGGTCGAGCCCTTCTGGGCAACAAAGCTGTTTCGGGCACGTTGTTTCCCGCTTTTGCCTTCCCCTCCTCGGGATGTCGTTCTTCCGCCTTGCGGTTGTCCAACTGGAGGCATGCCCATTGCTGCTGGTGTGGCATTCTCCCCTGAAGGGCATTCTGAAATTTTGGCACTGGAGGAGAGTGAGAAAAGAAGATGGCGTCGGAACTTTCGAGACCAGGCCCCTGAGTGCAGCAGCCTCCCTCTTCTGTTCCTCAAATTGTATCCAAAATATATCGTCAGCAGTGTGTGAACCTCTCATCAGGATTGCCTAGTCCGTTTGTTCGTTTCTCTCGTCCTGCACTTCCGCACTTGGAGCTAGTTGTTGATGACTCCAGCCACTCTCATGCCACAGCAAAATGCACTCTTCCCAGATGTTCTGGGACACAGAGGTGGTGACTTGACAGAACCATAGACTCAGTGCCTGCTTTGGCATCCCAGCTTTCCCCTTGCCACTCTTTGGGATGCACGCTTACCATGCAGGGAAGCACCTCACTAGCTGCTGTGCAGGATGCTGTCTCTGAAAAAATATGCCTCCGATCGCGATGGGATCAGAGAGCATGGATAGATCTAATAGAGATCTGTTTGTCTTGTGCAGAGTGCAGCCTGGTCTCTGGTCTGTCCTGCAGTATTTCTAATCCAGATTTGTTGAGATTACAAAGAAGCGAAGCTGATTCAGCGTGGCATTCTCATCAAGTTCACCTCAGCGATTTCTGTGGTTTTGTGGACTTCTATGGTTCCCTATTTGTGCATTTGCACCAGAACCTCAGACTGAGCTGGCACAAAGTCTTTGAACGCCGATGCAGCCCATCTTATGTGTGTTGACACGCCAATGCTGCAACTGCATGTCAGTTGCCTTATCCCCGATTGTGACATACAGATTGAGAAAATGTAACAATTCCCTGATGATGTGGTGAACATGTGGGGTGCCATAGATTCGGAATCCACTGCCCGGAAGACAGAGATGTGGTGTTTGGCTGGACCCCTGTGTTGTTGGCATACCCGTGCTTCGAGTCAGCAGGCAGGGTCCAAACGGGAAATGACGTAAACTGCAAAGGGGTTTGCAATGGCTTCAAAGTTTGGTGACAATCAGCCAAAGGGGGCACTCGATGCAGCTGTTGTGTTCAATCCGGTAGGATGGCCACCAGGGATTGCCCAGAGACTCTAGGAATTATCTTGTGGTTGGCAATACGGAGTGGAGGAGAGCAGGGAGAGAGGACGCAGATGTCCACAGTGTTTAAGGGGTTTAGTGGATGTACAGTACTGCAAAAATACAAAAAATGGGTCTGTTTCAGTTGTTGCTCAAAAAGACATCATGGTACCTGCTATTTTGCTTATACACTGCAAGATAACCTGTGCTCGAAAACGCCGGGGTTGGTGTTCAACTGACAACGCGCTCGCCCTTGCATTTCCGGTTATGTACTATGTTCCTGTGCCGACACTGCATCTTGTGCAGATTCTGCATAGTCCAACCTATGCCCAGATCTCCACACATCATTCCAGCAACTGCCTACTGCAGTGGCTGATGTTGCTGCCATGCCCCATTGCACCTCAAGGCAGGTCTGCATGCATGACCAAGAGCGGTGTATGGGCTGCTATCTGCATAAATGGCAGTCATTGTCGAACACTGGCCGTATGAGATGCAGTGGATTCTGGCTGGCTGGCATTGGCCTGGAAGGGAGACTGCTGTTCTTCACACATGCAAGGCGATGATGAGCACTTGCCCATACAATAGCTTGATTTGCTTTGTTGCTGCATGTCTGTTTGATGCCTGCTCACAATATGGCAATATGGTGACAGTTGCACTTGATGTGCTGTGGGACTTGCAGGTGATTCAGCTGCAGTGCATGGCAGACGATTGCCAAAATTGGCAGTCAGCAGACATGGTGGAGGCCCGAAGGGGGATGGAAGTCTCGTTGCTGAAGTATAGACTGGCAAAGGAGCTGGGCCAAGAGTCCAGGCACATGCTGGATGACATGCTTGATGTGAGTTGCCTGGACTTCGGTTTGCTCGCTTTCCATGCACTGTCCAAAGGTGGACTCCTTCATCACGTCATCAAGCTGTGTTGTGGTCCCTTAGATGAAACCTGTAAGCTCTTGAGTGAGCATGCCCAAAGCCCTGTGCAAACAGAGCTTGCAGCTTCAGCAGGCTGCCTGCATCGCCATTCAAGTCACTGGCTACTGCAAGCCCATGGATTGCAATTGGGTCTCCCTTTTGACCACGTTTGTGAATTTTGTTTTGGCATTGACTTGACTCCAGAATGTGCTCATTGCTGATTGTGGAGTACACATTTTGTGCAGAGCATCCGGCCGTACACTATGGACCCACATGGACTGGAAGAGGCGTACTGGCGATACTTTGATGGGAAGCAGGAGGAGCTGGAGGTGCTGGAATTGGAGAGAGAAGAAGCAGAAACGAAGCTGGCTGGCGTTGGCTTCTCGTGAGTGCCAAGATACTTGCTGTCAACTGCCAAGCCCTGACCCTGTTCATGCTGTCCTCCTGCAGGCTCAAATCCAAATTTCAGTTCCATGTTTTTGCCCCCTATGTGGCTGTCTGCCAGTGTGTTGTCCTAACCAATGTCAGGTGGTGTACGAACGAGCTGCACATCTGCTGCTGTGAAGGAGTGACTTGCCTTTGACTTGTTTGTGCCAGTTACCTACGGTTCAGGCCTGCGCCCATGCAGAAAACCTATCTAAGCGCACAAGTGCGTGCTGCATTCTTTACCCAGTTGCTCTTGTGTGCGCATCCCCATCTCATTGATCTACGAAAGCGTGATTGACGAAAATGTGACAAACTGCTCCATTGCACCTGGTGGCAATGTTGGGACAATGGTTGTGCATGTTCCACACAGGCGTAAAGCTGTTGACGTTGTGCCACAGTTTGCTGGGCTGCCAATCCCCTGGCCAATGCATGTTCTGAAATTCTGTCAGCAAGCAGTGCGCCCAACAAGAGAACTGCGATGCTGTGGTCAAAGGGTACTGCAGACCGTATTCCACTCGAGTATTCAATGTGCACCCACAGTAGTGCATCGGGTACAAGCATGGGGACATGGTAGCCTCATGGGTCACTGATCTATCGCATGATGCTTTGATGCATCAACGCTGACAGTGAGACTTGCCTGTGCAACCAAGGCCCTACAGACCATCAAGACCTTCACTGGACAAAGGTTTTGAGACCATCGCCTCCCAATTGTTGGATTTCTTTATGTCATCATTCATGCTGACAGCTGTGGGTGTCAACTGCTGCTCTTTTGCTGCAGCTTGTGTGGTTGCATGAAGAAGAAGCTTTTCTGCATATGGTGTTACAAAAAATTGTGCATGCCACCTTCAATGCTATACCCACAATACATGGCCCATAATAGTGTGTGACAGCATGAGTGTCTTCACTCACACAAATTCTCACACTGAAGCATCTATTCGCTGCCCACAGGCTGAGGCACCTCCCCTCGCAGGACGAGGTCCCCGAGAATGGCATCTCCCAGCTGAGCGGCGACGAGCGCGAGGCGCGCATAATGCGGGAAGTTCAGCGCGTGCATGACGAGACCCACGCGCTGCTCAAGAGCCTGGAGGCCAAGAAGGCACAGCTGGCCGCCCTGAGGGGCAACTCAAACGGCCGCCACCGCCGCCTCTCCTCCCTGGACGGGGGCAAGCTACCGGAGGACTTGAGGTATGGCATGGATGGGCACTGAGGCTGCTTGGCGCAGGGTGCGCAAGGTGCGTGGCCGGAGCACAGGGATGAAAACTTACGGTCCTGGAGATTGGCGATGAAAACTTACGGAAGGCGTTTTGGGCGTGGGTTGGGGGGTGGGGCCTCGTTGCGGCGTCGGGGCGGTTGTCGCATTCGCTGTCTGGGCTGGATGGGGTCAGAGCGCTGTCCCCTGGCTTGTGTGGGAATAGAGAGTATGTTGGCGGGCTGGCGTTGAGGGAAGCGGGGAATTGTATGGGCCCAAAGAACGGTGACCTCCAACTTGTTCCTCCATTGGAAGTGAATGCTCTTTTAGTCTTTGGCGTTTGGTGGTAATGAATGTGGCGATGTGTGTGTGGGGGTGGGGTGGGGTGGGGTGGGGTGGGGTGGGGGTGGGGGGATTGCGGGGGCGAGCGACGGCAAGTGTGTGGGTATGACAGCGAGGAGGGGCGACTTAGTGTTTCTGGGGACTGTACGCAGTGGGCGCGGGCGTGGGGGTGGGAAGGCTGATATTTTCATAATTCTTTAGGCGTTGCTTCGAGGCGCGGGTGGCTCCGGCTGCTGGTGTGGCATGGGATGCTTGGAGCAAACGAACCCATGGGACCTGTGCCGCGCATCTCGTCGGGTTGCAGTGCGGGGCGCCCTCCATATAAGAGAGATAAGAATGACGAGGACGATAATCTGCAATTGGGTAGTTGGTGTCCGATAAGGCGTGGTGTGGATGGGTGGACTCCGCCAGCGTCCATGACGCTGTGCAGTGGATTCAACGGAGCGTGCCACACATCAAAGGCTGCGTCACGATCTGTGGTAAATAAGGTCAGATAACCGAACCGCTGGGGGGTACCACCACAAGCCGTTTTGGTCGGCATCATGGGATTTTGGGGTCAAGACGGTGCCAGAAAGGCATGCAGCGGTGCCTCGCTACTGACGAGGAACGAGCATAGGGAAGTTGTGGGCCGATGGGCGCCCTGCCGTGGGGGCAGCCATATGTGCCATGACGGCGGGCCTCATAATCGCCAGTTTGCATGGGAACTAGTCGATAAGGTGTGTAACTACTGAAACGCCTGCTGGGAGGGCGCGTCTGTAAATCGATAATGTGCTCTGCGGCAGCCAGTGCAGCCTGCCGGTGTAGGGGGCGGGTCGTCTGTGCTGGGAAAATGGTGCCGAAAACACAGTCAACATGACGCGATGAGAGCCCGTGGAAACGCGGTTTGAACTACAAGCACATGAATTCCCGGCAATTTGGCCTTGGTTGAACACGGACAGAAACCGTGTGGAATGTGCAAGTTTTGCCAATGCAGAATGAGCTGTGCTGGGCCGAACCGTCTTCAGAGACCCCGTCCCTTCGGATACCTTGTCCTTTAGGTGCTTGTGAATGTCCAAGGGTGGCTGTTGCCCGTGGTGAATCCCGGCGGTGCTTTCTAGCAAGGAGGCCGAACAGCGTTTCAGCCACACATACAAAGCACCTGTATAAGTTGAAACTGTGGCGTGTCACGGTGCTGCACTGCCCTTGATTCGGCCGTCATGATGACACACGGGCTTGGGGAGCAGGAGACCTACTCGTGCAAACTCCTCCGATTGACACCACTCTGTTCGGAGCCTGTACATTGCGCCACCTGGACAGCTGGCACCAGCAGGCAACAACAAAAACGCAGCAACAATGTTGGCGGCAGTACAAGTACGGGGACAACATTGCTTTGGTGCGGGTATGTCGAGAACCGCTGCGCTTCCTGCTCACGTCGGCTCAGTTGGTGCTCCAAACGCGCCCTCGGTGCCACAGTCTTGCGCCAATTACTCAAGATACTTCCTGGCAATTCCTTGTGCCGACCGGTTCCCTTAAGGCCCGGTGAGTCGCCATTGACAGCATTGGCTGCAGAGATGCCACAATGACTTTCTTCTTTTCCATCGGCGGCTGCCAACTGCGAATTGAATGGGCGAGTTTCTTGGACAAACGAGGGACGTCAAGGGCTTCTTTTAAGCGCTACTTCTGTCAACTTTTTGGCCATGAAGTAATACATTACCATCACACGTCTGGACCTGTCCACTCCCCAGCGTCGACGTGACGCTGATCTGACGCAATCATGACAAATGGACTGAATGGATGGACTGGCCGTAAAGAAACATCGCCGTTTGGGATCTGCCTGTAACTCTGTTGCCTACAACTCCTTCCCGTACCGCCTCCGCCAGAGCCGTTTTCCCAGCGGCGAACAAGCCAGCGATCTATCAACGCCAGGTCCCAGGAGGTGACAATTCGTGGCGCCGAAAATATGAGCAAAATGCGCCACAGATTTGTGTTACATGGGTGTCACATGTTGCGCGTCACGCACTGTCCCCCCTGCGTCCACTCCCAATCCAAGAAGAAACTTTGCTGTGCCGTTTGTCTTGACGCAATTCACCCCATGGGCTAATACAATCCACACCATCATCCCTGTGAACTCATGTTCGCTTACGCCTTCTACGCCCACTGTCGATCAGCATACTGTGGCCGGTGCAGTCTCTCAAAGCTCAAAGTTGTTCAGTACTTTGCTCTCCAGGTGCGTGCCATACCGCACAGGTGCGTGTTTGGGCTGCTCGCCGGGCGGGCAGAATTGCGGTAGGGGCCGGACGGTGGCCTCGAAGTTGGGCTCGAAGAAGAAGGGTATGGAGATCCGCGAGGCCGAGGGATGGCTGTTGATGACCCGATGCACCGTGGGCTGGTACAAGCCGTTGGTCCAAACCTGCAGCGTCATCTCGCCAGTTTTCGCTTCTTCGAAAGGACTATTCAATTGACTTAGATCTGGTGCAAAGGTGCTTTGCCTCGCCACTGGCAATCCCCAGAATTCTCCTGCGCTGTGGGCACGCTGAGCGTTCACGGGATGGACAGATGGAAAAGAGCTCCGTTCTACCGTCCAGTGGCGCGGCGCCTTGTAAATGATGCGCTGTGTATTAGACAGGTTGGCGGCAGTGGGAGATCATGGTACCTTGGCTAACAGACAAAACAAGCCAGCCCATAGCGCTTCATTGGTTGTGGGCGCCCTGGCCCGCATCAGCCCTATCCGATGCGGAGGAGCTGCAGGGTTCAACGCAGCGCCCCCCTGTGCTCGCGCTTCCTAAGCTGCGTGCTGCAGCTTAGCTATATATTGCGAAAATCGCATCGCAAGCATCGCCACAGCGCCTTCCGCTCCGCAGACATGGGGAAATCACATTCAAAACCCATGTCGACAGAATGGCTAACAGTAGTAGCGAACCCCAAGAAGGATCATTTCAGGACAGCGAACAAGGGGAGGCCAGTCAGGAGGCTTTGGCGTCAATCCCCCACCTTGTACATGTCGCCAATATTGCAGACGAAGGTTCCCGGAATGGGCGCGGCTGGAACCCATTCGCCCTGGGCATTCCGCACCTGTGAGAAAATGCACGTGAGAACACGACCCCCCCATGCCATCTCCGTGGAGACTCCGTGTGCTAGTTGGTGCCCAGTACTGTTTTGATGTCATCGAACAGCCCACGAGCACTGAAGCGGCGTTGATTTTGGTCGTCAAGCGACAGTGAACCAGCCATTAGACAGGATGCAGCATCAAGTCTCAATCTAACGGCTGAGCTATGGTGACGTCACTACACATCATGTGCAGACTCAACACAGTGATTGACATGTGGCGGGCACGTGACGGCGGACTGGGTAAACCACACCGTCACGAATGCCATCGTCGTATCGATTCTCACGTAGTATATATTTAGTATTCTGGATACTCTGTGATGCTTCGCTACCTTGCACCGACCTGTAGGGCCGTCATATCAGGAGTCTGGTTGACCATGGTGAGCATGCCATAGTCTGTGTGCTCGCCACAACTCAATTGGACCTGCAGACACAAGTACAGCAGCAACTCGATTCCAGGAAAATAGCCGACCACGTGGCACCTTGCTGGTGCAAAAACTGTCAGACTTGTCCAAGTTTGTTTGCAGCGCTGCGGCAGACACAAGAATGGCCCGACAGGTCGCTCCCTCATGCGCCATGGCCATGGATCGGCCAATATCCATGGTATTCAGAACATAATGTGCACGCAACTGCCCAGGATGGGAAGTCCATTGTGTGGAGCGGTTTCCATTGGCATTCATACAGCTGCTACAAGGACACCATTGACAATTTTGTGCTGATTGTCAAAGTACATTCATCGGCGTCGTTTCCCACAGGCAGCATGGCCTTGGAGAGCTACCACTTTTCCAAGCACTGCCGCACACAACTTGCACCAGCGATCCAAGCGATGATACACATTTCTCTCTCCAGTGATCAACAACGCCCACGGCAAGCATCAAAGTGCAAGGACAATGCATCGCCCATTCGAAACGGGCGCACTTCGCGCCACCCTTTGCTGTCCTCTGCATCTCCTGTTGCACTTGGGAGTTGCAGGTATCTTCTTTTGCAGCGATCTCAAGGACACACTTCATTCAATGAACAACTTCCTCCTGACCAAGTGGTGCAGAAGAGTTTCCTGTTCAAAGGCACACTTGGGCCCCACACAAGTAGGGAAACGCGGCCTCCGTCATGAGGACCGTCCTTACCGATCTATCCACCACAGCACCTTGCGCGGCATCGCTGGCTTCCGCTGTGATGCCACCGTCCTCCCCTCTGTGTTGGGTTCCCTCGGACAGGGGTGGGTAATGAATGACCCGAGTCACCCTACAAGCACATGCCAGTCTGTAGAGCAGAATGCAAGCAACCGGTGGGAGATCAAGCGGTTCGAAATGAGCTTGGATAGGGAGAGGGACAGGAGTGGAAGATCAGAACCAGGACTTGACTCAGAACAAGGCTACGGCTTTAGGACCAGGGTAGTCAGCATGCCACCACGTATTGGCTTGAACTAGTTGCCAACCCAGAGGATATAGTGCGGCAATAGAGTTTTCAGTCCATAAGGAATCGTGCAATTTGTAGGCCAACAGAGACGCCATGTTTGCCATGTGTGCAGGCTTGCTTGATGGCAGCAAGCCACACATGAGAATTCCAGAAACCTGCAAGGGCAGTGCTTTATCGCTTTCCGCAAATGACAAAACTCCTCCATTCCTTGAATTTTGTTTCACACATCAATCCAGGTGCCCATGAAGCAACAAAGCTATCAGCCAGAGTCCTCCACATCTACAAGCTGGTTCACAGCTCGCGCAGCAAGGCACTTACCAATAAGAGTCGCCTGCAAGCTGACCATCAAAATAATCTTCCTTGAGGTCCAAACCCAGAGCGATTCCTGAATGACATGCCGGTGACTGCTCGCATGTCAGTGCACACAATGACAGAAGAATGTCTTTGGTCATCACGTGCACACGTGCAGGGCAGCGATGGCTAGCTTCTTTCTGCTAGTTTCCGTTCCCTGAACAGCAGTTGCGTGGAGATATCTTCTCTGCAATTTTTGTCTTGAATTCAGCTCGTGCTGCAGACACAAACTGTGACAGCAGCAAATGCCACATGCAATAATTCTATGCCCATGCTCTGTCCCTTACACGAAAACAATCCCAGTGCACCAGTAACAGCATGAAAAAGAGTCTCACGTACTGTAGTGTATTCAACCCTTCCACCTGAAGAAATTTTGTCATTATGCTTTTTGCCCCGCGTTTGTCTCACAGAGCGTTGTTTTCATTTATTTTACGTGGCTCCGCGTGGAAGAGCGTTATTTATTTTATTGCTTTCTCCGAAAAAATGGCCAAGCTTTTCGTTACTATGCAGAAGGGTTTAAAAACCAACAGTATCTTCTTGCTTAGGAGAGGCGGGTCCAATGCATGAAGTGTTTCCCTCATTGCCACAACTATCCTCTGCCCATGCTCCAACACTTTGCATCTTGGAAAATGCCGAGGAACAGGTTTACCCCTGCACAAAAGGCAGGCCATCAGACATGTCTCGCACTGCAGTGGCACAATTCACCTCTTGCAATCTTTGCCGAGAGTGTCAGCATGCTCTCGATGTATGTCCTGAGGATGGCCTCAAACGACGGCAGCTGGTGAGGCCACTGGTTCCGTCCATGGATCGGGCTGGCCGGCCGACCCTGAGCCTGGGGACACATGCTCACGCCCTTGGCACCTTCCCTCTTCCCACAGCTGCGTGCAAATGAGACACTGCTGGGGTGAACAAACATATTGTGGACGCTGTGCCTTTCTTTTTCCAAATGTTATATCGCATTTATGAGTCCAAGTGCCAGACTTTGCGCCTTGCCTGCACGTGTGTGATGGAGCGATGTGCTGTGCATTTGAATATACATTACCCTCTGTTTGTCTCTTGATGACAAAACACTGGAGGGTTGCTGGATATGTATTGTGACGTCATCATAGAAGGTCGCAATATGACGATGTGCCAGCATCAGCACGCAGCATGGAAATGCGACACAACCACAGCACTTGCCAGGCTGCGTGACAAATTCCACTCAATCACCCAGCGGGCAAAAAAGCATGCTGTCACATCATCCACAAGGCCAGAAAATAACAACTCCACAGTTTTTTGCACACAATCATGTAGTTGTGTGCCCTTGGCGTGGGCGCTTAATAATCTGCAGTCATTCGTGCACAGTCAACAGCCCATGTTCTTATCACTCACAGTCCTGACTGACATTGCTAGTAGAGACGCTGTTCAACAGTTACACAATGATGGGGGAACTGACTTCAAAAATGGCTGACATTTTGTTCCCACTGCGTTCCTGACTGCTGCTGTAGCATTTTGCATGTCTCTGGCACCATTCGCACCGATTTCTACAACATGTGCAACAGCCACACAAACGATGCTCAAAATTTGGCCCTGTGCTTCCGTTACTGCATGCCAAATTGCTCCTTGTTCTGCTTTCAACTTTGTGCTTGCCCCTTTCGCTCAGAGACTTCCACACCAAGGGAAGGAGGCTCACAAATTTTTTTGCACGGGACAGTGGCACCATTTGCACAACAAGTTTTCTTTCTGTACAGTGAATCTACGGGGCGTGCTATGGACGGCACTATGGATGGCCTCTTGGCAAACACCCAATATCTGCCCAGCAGCACACCACAGCATGTTTGTCCATCCATTCATCTAGAAAATAGAGCACTGCATTGCACAGATGGCTTTGGTGGCCACACCAACTATCTCACCCACTTGCAAACAGGAGCGAATCGTTTTTTAGTACACCAACAGTACTGTGCCTAAACTTTGAAGAGCACTGCAGCTTATCAACTGCCCCTTTGGAGGGCTCCAGGCCATCCAGCACAACAGATTTGCAGACTGAGAGCCCCATTCACTCTGTCACTGCCCACAATACACCAGCACACTAATGCCATGGAACAACATTTATGAGATGGCACAATCGTCAATTACTGCAACATCAATTTCAGGCCATTCTAGCAACACAAAGGGCAAGTTCATTGACAGATCTGTTTCGAGAGTGTACTTCAACATCTCCAATATCTTCCTCCTTGTACAGGTCAATGCCCTCGTGCCAGTCCCGTTGAAAGCCACCCTCATAGCGAGTCACATTTGCGCCAAGTCTCTGGTAGCCCCTGACCAATCAGCGATGGTGATTGTCAGGGCCATTGGTCGTGAAAGCAAGACTCAAACGCACAAAATCAACACATACAAATGTTGCCATTTCTTCTGTGCATACATGTGCCGTTCCCTTTATGACGTTACGATTTCCAGTTCGTTTTGCAAGTGGGTCTCAACCTATGTTATGCAGGAGAATCGCCCTGCCACATATCTCCCATGATTGCTTCTTGTCGTCTTTTTTGCTGCTGACCAGCTGCTGAGCAGAGCTGAGGCAGCTGAGGTGAACATGGAACGATTGTGATATTCATGGAATTTCAGTGATTGATTTGCAAATGGCAAAAGACAGTAAGGTGCTGCAAATTGCAAGTTGCAACGAGCTGCTGGGCGGGGCGCCTTGGGGTTTCTTGGCACGGGATATGTCTTCCTATTACTGTAAATTGCTTAAATCGCTCACTTCATCAGAATTTATGTACTACAACTGGGGACAGTTCAATGATTTGAGTTGGTGAATGGCAGACACCTGGATTCATTCGTCTGACTTGACATTTGGATGTTTTTTGCCCCCCTTTCTTTGCTTCTTTGCGTGGGTGGCTGCCAGCACTTTGGGTTGATTAGACGTGAACTTGGCAAACATTTGGGATCGAACAAACACACGTGCTTGAAACCATTGCCTGCCATCGCCAGTTTGGCAAAAGGGCTTTCGCTTTGTCACGTGACAAAACTAATTAAGAAACATGCCAGAGCAATCTGAATTTATGTCGCTCCAATCGGTATGTAAGCAATATCAGTTCAGTTCAGCTGTCTTTGTTCACAATGTACAATATGGTACAAGACTGGATATATGAACGTTGGAGCTGCCACACACAAGCCGTGCACTTCAATCTAGTCAGGTCCCTTTTGGCCCAAAGACTGCTGCCGTCAGTGGTGCTTCAATATTTGCTGACAATGTCATGCAACGGCTGAAATGAAGTGATGGCTGAACAAGGGCCACAAGAAAACAGCAAACCGGTGTGTGCAAATCCCCTCCCACCTCCCCATCACCCACCCCTCCCAACACCCACACAATAAGAAGGCGTCGATCATATTGGGAGCCGATGCAACAAAGGCCAGCACAAATTGGTGTTCACAGCCAACCCTGCCAAATGCCATACAACTTCAAATTCCAGTTGTCATCAGATCACCTGTAGTGACTTTGGGGTGTTATCTTAATTTGCTCCTTTATATTCTCCTGACCCAGGCCAAGCACAACTTCAGCAGCGAAGCATGAGTTGGGAGTGCCCAATTGTACGGATTGACGAACAGGAAGGCAGATCAGTGGGAAAGAGTGACACAATTTGCACTGCAGATGCAACAAACAAATGTAGTAGCTTATCGCCTGGAATGGCATCACATTAGAATGCTGGTCACACTTTTCACTGTTTACATTCATGCCTTACCACTATCACTTGCAATCAGTACAACAGTCACTTGCTTTGTAAATCCATTGATGACAATTGTCAAACAGTCACTGACTTTACATAACACAAGCCGTTACTATTGGCAACGATAAATCATGACACCAGTAGGACAATGGAATGAACGGGTGTGCACATGCACTTGTTTTCAAACTTAACGAAGTTGATGAACATGGCGACACTCCATTCCAGGGATGCAGTAGAGCTCTCTGCAGATGAACAGTTCTGCTGCTGACAGGATAATGTACCCAGGTTCATCAATCTTCCATGGTGTCTAGAATGTTCCTATCTGTTTTGTACTTCCACCTTCGCAATTCATGCCAGAGGATTTGGCTGAAAGAAAAGCCATGGACTGACTATGGATGACAAGAGGTGGATTAGATGATGGCAGTTCTAGGATGGCACAACAGGCCCCCTGGCACTCACATGACAGGATGCAGTCAATTTTTGCTGCTGCCCAACATAGTTTTGAATACATTTGCGTTGGAAAGTTCCTGCATTCTCTATAATATGGTTACCGGACAGGAGTTCCACGCATCGCCTTATGCAATGATAAGGGGCCTGCAGATTGGTTGCCATTCTTCTGTCTGGGCTGACATTATGTCTGGTGCTTGGTGCAAAACGTCTTCATCATCATTTGCAGTATGGAACCGAATCTCACCATTTTGGTCCTGGAGGGATTTTTTGTTGTATGACACGTTTCTCTTGTGACGAAACCTCTGTCTTCGATGCAGTGCAAACTAAGGAAATGATAAATATCGGGACTCCCATGCAACAAGCCTCACAGTGTGGAGTGAACACAACACCCGACGAGGAGCAAGGGGAGCAAAACAAAGTATGAGGGTTGGCAAAGCTGTGCCAGACAACTGAAGTTTGGCACAATCAGGCTCAATGCACAGTTTACATTTCCATACAGCTGATTTGAGACATCCATTATCATTTTCTTGCAACTGAGCCTGGTGATTTGGAATGTGAAGTAAGCAGACTTGCAATCGCAATTTGGGGTGGACCTACCGGCAAATTAAACCATCTCTGGGCCTCAGTCAGCACTTTGCCATACGTGGACTCGGGAATCCCTGTGCAAATGCTGACCTTGCTTGTCAGGCAACAGGACCTACAGGCCAAGGGAATAACTCTACATTGACCACAGTGGCATCATGCCAACTAGCGTCGCTAGCAATAGAGATTCGGTTCCCATGCAGGATTTTCAGCATAACATGGAGAGCTTTCATGTGGTGTTGAACCCAATGTTACAGCAACAGAATTCAACAATGAGCAATGGGTAGAATGGGAAAGCACAGCCGAGGCATCGGCAGGAAAAGATGGACACAGTGTACAGGCTGTCCATGTGCTATGCCAGACAACACCTTAGCCGCAAGGGCAGATATTGCTCAGAGTTCAATGGAGGTAACCAACACATGGGTTAAACTGTTGATGTTTTCCGACACACGATCTCACCATGGTTCTTGATGTAGAAGAAACCCACATCGCGGCAGGCAATGTGCAGCTGTGCCCCAACTGCCTGCCTTTCAGCCAGATCCTGCCCAGCACTGGAAATCTCAGGTTGCACATCGTACCTCAACTCTTACTTCATGCTTTCTTGTCTTTTTCCGTAATTTGCTGTACTCAGTGTACAGGATGCTCCATTCCACACATTTCAGGCAGGGATTTGTTCAATTCAGAAAACACACAGCAATGCACATAAAACCTAATGTACCTGATCAGACTTTTTCTTACTTCCACTGTACCTTTACTGTATAATGTATTCTGTGCAGCCTGCAAAAGCCTATAGGAGATGACTGTGCCCCACTTTTTCACTGGTCTTTGGGTGAATAACAATTCTATCGTAGTCTGCAGGATTGCCAATACCATAAGCGCAAGTTACAGAAGTTACCATTATCACATTGCCTAGCAGCTGCCAAGGTGGTGCTTTCTCAGGCCCTTCTCACAAGTGTACGTGTGGATGTCATAGATGTGGGGTTTTTATTTTTGATTCCAAAGAGGTACATGTGGGTTGTGGTTTTCTTTTGAGAATTATTGTACACTGCTAAAGCTTGCAAAGCGAGTAGTCTGCATTTGACACTGTTTGATCGTTTGATTTCAATGAAGACAAGCACAGCATCACCTGCGTGCTGTTTTGCGTCGCCGGCAACACTACATTCCTTCGACGCAACCAATCCGGCAACCTAGAACAACAACCAAGTCCAATGACAGCACAATGACGGGCGGCCTTCAAGCATGCGGCTATTTCCAAGGCGCAGATGAAGAGTAGCGTCTACTTCTGAAAAGGCTCCGCCGAATCTTACTTCCAGCCCGGTATGCATAGCAAACGGATGGGATGGCTGGTCCTGGATTTCCTTGCTGGGTGGACTGCATGCAGCAGTCCGCACTGATTTGTTCCAGTTTGCCGACGCACAGCGTAACTTCCGTAACACAGCGCAACCTCCGTAACACAGCGCAACCACCGCCCGGTCGATCCCCGGGAGGAGACGCCGCCAACAAACCCGCCGCTTCAGCGTTGCTGTGATTCAAACAACCATGCGGGATGCCCTGAGTGCCACTGGCACTTCAACGGCGCCCATCAGCCTATCACAGAATTGCAGCCTAACAAAGAACTTTGCGCAGGCGATTGATCCGATGCGTGAACGCAACAAGGACCACATTGCCAGCATCATTTTGCGCAGGCGCTCCTCCGAGAGGCGAAGCGGACGCGGCCGAATTTTCGGGACCGGATCGACGCTGGGCAAAGGTCGACTCGCGCTTCAGCAGGGATAGGAGCGCTCGTGCTGGACGCACCGAGTTTTCAGCGACCAGCGGCCCCACGTCAATGATGGGCAGCGAGCTGAAGAGCCTGGATAGGAGCTGCAGGCCGACGGTCCCCCTGCCCGCGGCCAGGCGCCCGGCGCGCAAGGGACCAAACATCCTGGACTGGCGACCAGGAATACTGGCCTGGGACGTGCAATTGTAGCTGCAGCTTTTTCATCGTGAACATCAAGAATTCTTGCATCTCAAGGCGAGGAGGCATGCTGCAGCATTTTCAATCAAGTTTGCGCTCTTTCCTTCTTCATTCGTAATGCAACTGTGGGCGTTGATTTGCGGGGGAGTCCCTTTGTTCGAGCTATAGTGTAATACATTGGAATTAAAAAAAAAAAACTTTGGGTGCTGACAATCACGAAAGTCATCAGCGATCGCCAGTGGTCAGGATCATCGTCAGTATCGATCCGGCCGGGGGCTGGCCCACAGCGCTGCGTGCGCCATTCAGGTGCTGTCCCAGGCAGGCAGCAGCACGCCCAGAAATGTCGCGACCAGTGGAAGCGAAAGACGCGGTGCAAGGAGAGGCCCACAAGGCCAAGCCCAGCATGGCGAGGAGGTTCCCAACAGAGAAACGTAAATGAATTCAGAACCATGCGGAGACACAGGAAAATGGGCACATGGGGCCCAGAATGAATACCAACAGCTCTTCTTTGGCACAGCACGTGCGTGTCAGTCCAGCCAGGCCCAGGACATTGAACAGCTGTCGTTGAAAACGCGAAAGCAGCGCCACAAGGCGCCATGCAGCTTCAAACCACAGCGACCGACAGCGGAACTCTGCAGGCCTACATGAGAGCAATCCCATCCCTAGAAATCGTCAGAGCGTTGCACGAAGCGCCGAAAACAGTCTGTCCCCAAAATCGACGAGCATTGGCTCAAAAGAATGTAGCAAATCCCTTGATGTCCTCCTGGCACCCTAAGCACCAAATGGTTCCAAACTCCCCATCCGGCGCCCAGTGCCATACCACATATGCACTGAATGCCAACTGAGGCACCTGCCTTTCTGTGCAGCAGACACATTCCCCAGTTGTCAACAGTTTCTTGACTTGTCCATGTGATGTTTACCCCCAAAGGAGGAACCCTGCAACTGTGCAAGGTGCACCCTCCAACCCCGCAACTTTCTTCTCAAGCAGGCCGTGCGTCCGAAACCTGCAACCCGCCTCACTGCACGGCCTATCTTCACCTGCACAATTCCACCACATTTGTTTTGGCAAGCTCGCCAGCAGCGCAGCCTTGAAACCAGAGAGCACACACAGGTATTTTTCATCCGCCCTTCAACCCCTTCATTTCCTCTCCTTGACCTCGACGCCGCCCTTGCCCGCGATGATGCACACATCCACCATGTCAAGGAAAAGGCCGTGATCCACAATGCCCTCCATGCCTTCCATGGCCTTTGCTGCGGCATGGGCGTCCTTGATAGGGTTCTTGAAGTAAAGGTCCACGATGTAGTTGCTGTTGTCTGTGACGTAGGGCTTGTCGCCGTCCATGCGCAGCTTGGCTTCGCAGCCGGAGACCTCTGGAAGGTTCTGCAGCCGCTGAAGGTTGTACTTCCAGCAGAACTGGACAATCTCCACGGGCATCGCATCTGCAGGGCAGACACGCAGTGATGCAATGGATGCAATCGTTTCCTGGCTCCAATTGTTGCTGTATTGCGCTGGATGACATTTGCATGACAAAGTGCGAAAGCACGACAAAGGTAGGGCAACACACGATTTTGCAAGTTTACAACGTTCTACCTCTTGCTGGCAAGCGCTAGGCGTGGAAATGGGAGTCTTGTAAACTTACCTTGAACACTTTCGTGGTCAATGGCAAAACAGTGCGATTGTACACTTAGGTTATCCCTGACAAACTGCGAGCTGCTGGATACGACAGTGGGAAATGGGTGTTGCTGGAAATAGATTGGAACTAAGTCTCTGAGTCTCTGTGAGTGCTCTCATTCATTCACTCAAAGACGTGTGCATCATCCTGTGCAGCATGCAGATGGGTCTCCTAATATATGCTCAGGGGCAATTAGTCAGGAATGGTCTGCTCTGGACAAGTAGCAGCACTTTGGGCCATCTGGAAGTGAATATCAGCAAACAATTTGGGGTGACCCAATGCATTCGCTTGGGACCAGCGCCCTGCTCAGCCAATCTAGTGAAAAGGCTTTTCTTCTGCTTTGTCAATTTGCAAACATCATCAAACGAGGATTTCATCCTCAGGAACAGCGTGTCCAAAAAAAACACATGGTGTGGATGCACACACAGGTGCGAAGTGCTTAAATTCTGTGAGAATGATACCCTTCATTTGCAAAGAACATAAGTCTTGCAGCGAGGAACACGGAGAACACACCTTGGCTGCCTCCCAATCCAGCAACCAACTTGGTCTCATCAACAATGCAGACAAATTTCTTCGATGCCATTTCAACCATCTGCAGAGAGCGCAAGTCGCACTTGGGTCAGGTGTGGGTCCATTCCTCCAAATGCAAAATGCATTTTGAAGACTCCCCTGCCGGGAGGAGAAAAGGCGTGGGGCAGCAGCCTTGGTTGATGGGCACCATATTGCAGGATACACAAACACACTGTACGGCAAGCAAATTAGCAGCATGCCCTCAAGCTCATTCCCAAGTTGCAGTGGGAATTTCAGAGGAAGTAACGAAGGCTTCATAAGCTGCTCGGAGGGGCTCCACCTGAACCATCTAAGTATAGGAAAGCAAGTTCGGGAATAAAAGGCGACAATGGAATTCCCATTGGCTCAAAAGAATTGTCTCAAAGACGAATTGTCCACAAAACCAACATTCCTTCCATGGGTGAGGGACTGTTTCTTACAATGTTCACAAAGCGATCACATTAGGTCTTGCGTAGACAAGTGGCCGTCAAAGGATTAAAGCCAGCATCCCACCTTCTCCCTCAGCAAGGCGCCTCCCCTCCCCTTAACAACGTCAAGATTGGGGTCAACTTCATCTGCGCCATCGATGGCCAAGTCGATATTGGGCTGCTCATCCAGAGTGGCCAATGGGATCCCCAGCCCTGAGCAAGAAAGACAGTGAAATCAGAACACAAGCAGCCACAAAACACCATCATTGCAACACTCAACACAATTATTGGTGCAGACAATATGGCACATCGTGGCCAGCACACAATCAGTGGTTGATACTCTTGGACAAAATTTCTTCTAATTGCCAGCAAGCCATACCAATCGCAGAACCAACAAGATGACCTGCAAGATTTTGGCATGGTGTCCATGGTGTTGCCATTAACTCTACAGCCCTGACATCATCATGGCACTATCAAATTGCAGTTGCTCGTGCAGCCTTGGGCATGCATACCATTTCGGGAAATGTTAGAAAGAAAATTCATGCCCAGGCATGTAAGTTCATGGAAAACATGCTTATTTGGTGGGGAGTGGGAAGATGCAAAGCAGTTGCTGTGCAACAGATAGCACTTCCACTCTGCGAAACTCACAGGCTTTGATGATTGATCTAAAGAAGACAAACAGGTTGTTGTATACATGCACAGACTGCTGGTGTTGTGCTTGCATCCTGTGTTTCTGGGGCCAACAAAGCTGCGGCACCACACATGCACAAGCAGAAATTGCTTTGTTTGATGCATTGACAAGTCAAAGATGCTGTTCATGGTCTTTTCTGCATTCCATGCAAAAAGCAACGACCGTCACTTCAGTTCTCTGTTCACTGGCTACCTGGACAATCATAATTAAAGTGCCACACCGGCGAAGGGAGCTGATCTATTCTTAGCATACTGTTTGCAAGCACAAGACCCAACAGTATCATTCATACGCCTGGGTTCTCCTTTGGGTGGTGGCCAGGCACATGGAACTGCAACTAATGGCTCCAAACCTCATGAAGGGGTTGCGGGCGTACTCTTACGTGGGGCCCTTTATGTGTTCTCACATGCACACATAGTGATAGCAACAGCAACTAAGTCGCAGGCACCAGGGTTCAGTACTCGGATCCTCGGAACACTGTGCACCGCCTTTGACACAGCAACCAACACGCTCCAACACCGACCCACTGTACACAAGCAGAAAGAACGCCCTCAATCGCAGCGCTGCATGATGCAACTGTGGACGTTCCAGGGATTTCCGCGCCGCGCTGAAACACACCACTTCCTGTGTTCTCCCACAACGTTCGCGCAACAAGCTGCCATCACACAGACACTTGGGGGTCCAATTGCAAAACATGCGTGCTTCCCAAACAACCGCGAGCAAGGCCCAAATTTTCCCGCGTGTCAGCTCAAGGCGGGCCGCGCAGCCGGCGTAAACGGCAGTCCATCAGGCGGGCTCCGTGCGCACGCATCAGCACGACGGACCCAGGCATGCCAACCCATTTCCATCCTGCCTTCGTGGGTGTCAGCAATCACGCGATCAGCTTGACGCCCGCAGCGATTTTCCTCGCTCCCACAACTCTACGCGCTTCACCATGACCGGCCCACAACCCGCCACCCGGCATCCAATCCTTCACCGTCGCGTGATTTCCCAATCCTATTGCCGACAGCCACGCTCCTTCCCACGCAAAATGCAATCCTCCGCGCACCGTCCCCGTCCACGCGATTCCAACCCGGGACCCCTCCCTCACCCCTCCCCAGCTCTAGCCTTTGGTGTTGCTTGCGTTGTTCGCTCACCATTTCGAATCGGAGATTCCATATCGTCCCTTCACAGCATGGAAAGAGCCTCACATACGCTTGCTTAGGAGGAGGTGCCCTCTGTGCGACCTACTTCTTTCTCTCTTTGTAACACATCTCATCCCCCCCTCCCCCGCAATCCCCAAGCCGCCGCCGCTCCTCCTTTCCCGCAGCGCAAATTCACTCCGCTTCCGCACCATTCCCCTTCCGACTTCCACACCCCTCCTTCCACGAGCTCTCATACCCATCCCATTGCCCCAAACGGCCCCCAGAAACCAACAAGCAAGAAATCTAAACCCCCCCACCTTTCGCCTGCTCGTACGTCCTCACAGATGTCGGCACGCCCACGATGTCCTTCAACGTCCCATCCTTCAACAAGTTGCCGATCCTCTCCACCGCGAACGCCGCTGTGGAGCCCGTGCCCAGGCCCAGCACCATCCCGCTCTCCACGTAGTCCACCGCCTTCCACGCGGCCTCCTTCTTCAGCTCGTCCTGCGTGAGCGCCGCCGCGCATGCCAGCGCCCCGCGGCGCGACCGCCGCAGCCGCAGCGGCGTGAAGGATCGGGTCACGACCATGGCGGCGCGGCGGAGCGATGATGCGGGGGCCGGGGATCGGCAGGCGGCGGCGGGCGCGACCATGGCTTGGGGGGCGGGGGGCGGGGGCGGCGCGGGCCTTTGGGGTGGGCGGGGCGGGGAGGGCGGCAGTCGGCGCGCGGTTCATATGGCGCCGATTCCCGTTCATCATCTTCAAGAAATGCCTGATGATGTGACGCAAATCGGAAGCTGACGGCTACCTCATTGCCTCGTCCGTCAAAATGATGATGATGACGATGATGGTGTTGCGCGGTGCGTTCCAGGGGAGAATATATTACTCCCCGTTCTTGTTTTTGCTGATATTCGGTTCTTGTTCCGCTGACAAGGCCAGTCCCGGTGCGTGGATCAGAAGTTGGGATTTAGGGTGTCCGAAAACAAGAACCGAATCTCAGCAAACAAGAACGGGGAGTAATTTTATGCCGTTCCAGGGAAGGGTCGCTCGCAATCGCAGTCCGGGGCAAGATGCACCTGCCGCTGCCACATTCCGCGGCACTCAGATCACGTAGACATCATGCTCATTGTCACCCACCATGCCTCCATCTGTGCTTCTGAACACAACAGTACAAAGGCGGGCAGGCAGCCAGCAACTCCCTCCTTTTGCAGGAGCAATGCTGTGTTCTCTATTTTTTGATTCCAAAATGTTGCATCACAATTCAGTGTCCAGGTGCCTCCCCCTCCGTAACTCAAGAAATGTGGGCCTTCAGCCACCTGGCAAGAGAGTGCAAGGCGATGCGACGCCCCCAAGTTGGTCGAATCCAAAAGAATGTTCAGTCTCAGGAAAGGAAAACGAGAAGTCCGGCACTCCGAAGGGGTCCTGGCAGATCATCAGCCAAAGTCAATTGCATTTGTCTCCCCGTTTGTTCTAGTGCACCGAGACGAGAAGAGAAGGGCTCTGTCCTAAAATAACTTCGAAGTGCGTTTGGATTTGTAATGCTTTTCAGGGAAAAGCAACAGGGAGGGCCAAACATGCGCTGCACATAACAAACTGCACAGCAGCCACAGGCAAACGCGCACACTTGAAGAATTAAAAGCACACAAGGAATCGCCGGATGCCCATCCCGTCCACCAGACCGTCACCAGTCCAGGGCGATCGATCACTCACGGGCACTAACGTCAACCACCACTCATGGGCACTCCAGTCAAAGGCACAACAGCCATCCAACAGCCAATTCCAAACCCTTCCCCATGGCACCAGATGCCATCCCTTTATTCTTGCCCATGTCCATGAAATGCAGGCACAAACTATGCCAGTCGCTTCACTACCATACTTGACACGAAGGGGCTCAAGGGTAGCACACTGAATGAACAAATTGGGTTTCGGCGCGGTGGGTTGCATGAGCATAGAGCTTCACGCCCCTGCTTTCTGGACCATGACGAACAGCGGGCAGTTGGAAGGAAGCTTCTCACGCCCCTTCAGATCGGGAAGTTCGATGACCACAGCCGCCTCCACCACCTCTGCACCCACTCGATCTGCAGCCAGAAAGAGGATATCTGTTTGATCAGCAATGGCAACTTTTGATAGAGCAGCACGTTTGGCACTTTCAAAGCCATGGGAGCAACATCTCTGCAGTCGAGGGAGGGTGGGGGTTGGATTTCGCACAACCAGAGGGCAGTTCTGCCACTGCTGGCAAGATTCCGAGTTACAGCGTTTCAGTGCCAAAACAAGAAACAACAAAGACACAGCTTTCGAGGAATGGACAGCTCTTAAGAGAAGAATCATTTCATGCTGCAGTCTGTGCAGCACGCATCTGCTCAGCAGCTGGAGAGCAACAGCGTACCCATAAGTCGGGCACCTGCAGCCATCGTCCCCCCTGTTGCGATCAGGTCATCCACCTGCAGAGACAGCAGCATAGAAGCTATTGGCATGGCGCTCAGATGCTGCTTTGCTGGCTACAGTTCGAAATTCTAAGGATAGACCCTTTGTTCGCTTTTGAATCGGCTGGGCTATGGCTGATGGAATCTTTGGGCTTTGGATTCATCAACGCACATGATGCAAGCTTGCGGGCCCATGTGGTGCCTGCCACTGGTGATGACAATCCACTTTGGTCAAATTTGGCAACAAATGACAATCACTGCCCTTGCACCTGTAAGGCGATGACATGAATAACTCCAGCGACATTGTTCGTTTAAGAATGTTTGTTCATGTCCCTTTCCCATAGCCACAAGATATCCTGAGAAGCTAACATTCACTCCATGTCTGTTGCTCTGCTGATATTGGCATTGCAACAGGCATTTGTGTCCTACTGCAACTCCCTCACACTTGAGGAACCTGGGAAGCTCTCGTGGAGCAATCCTACCATCATTCTGTGGGAGCGATGGACTGTGGGGTCAACACTGATGAGTGTTATTGAAGCAGAATAGCAAGCACAAGGAACCCATTTCGACAGACCTAGCCTGCTGGCTTGCAAGGACAGCAACGTGAAGGCTACCAAGAGGCAACCCTGGCATTGTGCCCAAAATTAGTGCCACAGATCAAACTGCTGGAATCCTCAGTGCAACAGTGGTGCATAACAGCCCAGCTTAACATATGTATAGAGCTCACTCCTGGCACATGCAGTTGGATACTGGCGATATGTGCCATGGCTTGACACCACATTCTGTTGGCCTGCCATTCGGCAAACAGCAGATTCTGTGGGCTTGCTTTAATGAGAACATGCTTTGCTGAGTCAGCAGAAAACTAGCAAGGACCACATACACACAAGTTTGTCATGAGCCATACTTGATGGTGGCCAGAATGGTCATCTGGGCCCAGTGCTTGGCCAGTGCCAATCGACAAAAACACCACGGAGTTCACCTCCCCGATGAAATACAAGAAAATGAATACTAAACCAACAAAAAGCAGCGGAGTTCTAAAATATGAGTTGAATAGCATATGGCAAATGAACAAAGATAGAATTCAACAAGATGTCAACACAGTGTACTGCACCCACCAGCAACACCCTCTGTTTCTCCTTGACAGCCCCAACATGCATCTCTATTCTATCCGAGCCATACTCCAGCTCATATTCCTCTCCAATTGTCTCACCTGCAACAACGTCCATCATATTTCATGCTTTCAAATACACGAAACCCACCAGAGGGTATTCTAGACCATGCACTCGCAAGGCTTGCTATTCACCTGGAAGCTTCTTTGGTTTCCTCAGTGGCACAAACGCACAACCCAGAGCAAGGGCTAGAGGGGCGCCAAAGATAAGGCCCCTGGCCTCGAACCCTGCAACACAAAAGGGATTTGCTCATCGCTGTGAGATGTGAATGGAATAATGAGAAAGGCACAAACATTTCTGTGCACGGAAGAAAATACATTGCTATTGCCATATCCAGAGCCAAACATCACCTTTGCAAACACCAACTTGCCATGCACAACATACAAGGGGATCATGAAACCCCAAGAACCAGTTGTATATACACAGCATTTTAGTGCACATTTCGAGCCTACAAAATCAACATTGGGACACAATATTTCAGGTTTGTGTGACCCTGAGAATTCGGAGTTCTTGGCTGAGCCACATGGTTTAAAGTTCAATTTTGGGGCATCTGTCCATCCAGTTCTGGCACGTGGTTTTGCATGCGCTGTGCCTGGACATCCTGACATTCCTACAGGGAGGAGGCATGGCACGCTCGCCTTTGCACCCCCCACTGGCAAAATAGGGCGGCCCAATTACTGTATCCTTGGAAGAAATGAGTGGACAATGGAATGGCTTTCCATCCTGATGTACAGTCCAAGCCATTGGAAGCCAAAAGCAAAGCAGTTCCGATGGCTACGCACGTGGCATGCAATCCCGGGAGAACAGACTCTTCCAACTGTGCAAAACCTTCACATCGTCCTGACGTCCAGGGAATGTCGTAATAGCTCCTTGCCCCTGGCACTCTAACATCCTCCAGGTGGACATTGCTGGTCCTATTCAAGGGCTATGATTGGAGGCTGTTGGCCGCAAAAGGTTTGTGGCAGACCGCTTTCCGCTACTGACACTCCAGGCATTCTCACAGTCAGTAGCAACACCAACAATTTGTCCTCCGCTATGCGACTGGCACTGTGGCCTACAATCTTGGACTTCTCTGATCCAGATTTCCCCATTGTTCATCTTGCAAACAACATTTAGGGCCGTACATCGCCGTGCGCCATCTCACGTGGCGGCAGCAGGCCCACATGGCTTCTGAACGGGTGGCACCTGATCTCTCTTGTGCGAGGCCAAATCTACGGAATCAGGCCAAAGCAGCAACCCACCCGCCACGGCGTCTATGTTCTTCCCCTGGTAGCGCTCCACCAGCAGGTCCACGCAGGCCTTGAAGGCCGCCGGGTCCAGCAGCGTTGTGGTGATGTCGTAGAACTGGATTCCCGGCTTGGGAAAGTCGGGGATCTCTCTGATGGACTCCGCAATCACCTGCACGTCCATCAAATCAGCCAACACCCTGGCCGCGGGCTCGCAACGGCCCCTCGGCCATCCTAACCCCAGCAGCCATCATTGTCGTCATGCCATTCCGGTGGGCCTAGGGGAATGGCGACCAAACCAACTAAGTGCACGATTCTCAGGATGCATTGATGCCAAATGGGCGGATCTCAAGTTCAGGCGTCTTGGGAGAGAATCGTCTCGGGAGGGGAGCCGATGTGGGCTGGCCCACGGGTGGCGACGGACTTCGAAGTGCACTCAGTTTTCGGCACGGGATCCGTAGGCTGATGGTGGGCTTCACCTGCTCTCGGCTCCGCTCGGCCATGGCTGGGACTGCGGCGGAAGGGGGGTGCAGGCGGGTGGGCCGGGCAGAAGTGGGCCGCGGAGACGGGCGACAGAGCAGGGCGGGCGAAGGCGTGGGATGGAGGCGCAGGGGCGCAAACATGCCTTGGGGGGGTGCTGGGGCCAAGCCGAGTGATTAGCAGTGGCAGAGAAACATACATGAACAAGTCATGGACACTGCTTTGCTCGGACAAGATAGGAAGCTAACGGCTACCTTACTGCCTTGTTGTGTGAAAAAGGCTGATGATTATTATCGCGCTGACCGTCCACACAATCACTTGTTAATTGTTCTTTCGGCCTCACAATGATGATGAATTCCTTAACTGCATCGCGTTCACTAAACCCGACTCCGCTCCCCGCAGTCAGCCCGAGTGGTTACCAGTGGCCTCGCGGGGTTCGAACCCGAACGGGTCTCCAAGTTTGTGTCCATCATCAGTTTCCATGAATAGTCATGGTAATGTTGTGAGTACAAATTGTACAATACAAGGCGAAGGAGGTAGCGTCAGCTTCCAATTTTGCCCGAGCAAAGCAGTGCCCATAACTTGTTCATTGAGATTGAATGTATACCACAAGCAATTTCGACAGCAGTCGCTCACAATTGATGATGTGAAACAAACCGGGAATGGGCCCCGCCAAAGACGGTGTGTGATTTCACGTGGATCGGCGCAGCTGACTCAGAAGCAGTTCAGTCATCGATCAGGACGATCGGGTGTAATTCAGCACCATAAACTGCAGGACATTTGTCACCAGTTCCAGGACGAGCCGAATCTCTCCACACACAGCGCTCCACACGCACACATCAGGCATTGATGCAGTACCAGCGACCATCGAAGATGTCGACGCGTTGGAGTACCTCGCACCTTGAGCCACACCAAATTTCATGAGAAGGACTTGGGGAACGGGGCCAGAGCTGCAGGCTACCAATCTCCTCGCATATGCAGTGGACAATGAGGGACGCAAAGCAGCTGAGGGAATGCTCGATGGCCAATACATATTAGCACATGCTTGTGCCCGCCAATGTTTGAATTTTACGTATTCTCGTTCCACACACCACCCGCGTTAGGGATGGGGCACTGGAACCACTAAAACATCTACGGAAATTTCTTCAAAATTGTATACATTCCATGCGTTTTAAGATGTTTGGAATCCCAAAACAGCAATACCTTGTAGACGTTTGATTTTTACAACGTCATTTGCAGCCAGCGTCTGCAAGATTCCTTGTTCCAAAACGCCAGTGGCAAGGCTCGGTAGTGGCCCAGCTGATGTAAACCTTCTGCCCATAGACACCTGCCTCGCTCTCTACCTTCCACTGACTGCGAACGTACATCTACATATGTTCGCAGTCAGTGCAAGCTGGAGGGCGCGGCACCAGAGATATGCGCTCGGAAGTATCGGAAATTTAATGGAGCTTTCTGATTCACATAAGTAATTTTCCAACCGAAAAGCAATATATGAAATCAGGAAACCCAATATGGGGAATCTCCAGCTTGCAGAAATCCTCTGGCTACATTGCAAATGTTTTTTTAATTCTAAAGATGGCATAAAACCTCAGGTGGTGGGGAAAAAACACACCCCGCCAATTTCTTGCAACGCAATTTGCAGAACACATTTGATGTTGAGTTCAGAGATTTTGGCTACTCGAAAACTTAGAAATACGCGCCCCACAGCAACGCATGCGCAATGCGCAGAGCTCCGTCCTATTTACATGGGGCTTATTGAATTCGCTGATGATTGGAACCATGGACCTCATTTGCGGGCTCAGGCGGCTTCGGAAAGTTAAATGGCTACGAGGGGATGCTTTCTCACCTGTTGGACATTTGCATTTACGCTTGCGCGATGAATGGCCACATGCTGGGGAACGTTCTCTTTTTTGTCCTTTATCTCTGAGGCTTTTGCCAGGATATATTTTCCTGTTTTCAATATTGCATTTTGAGTCTGTTATCCTGCTCTTTCCCATTGCAAAATACGGATTGGGAGGCAAGTTTGCCACAGTTTCTTTAAAGAAAGTACATACTTTCCAGTTACATACGTACGAGAAGTTATCCACAAACACCCAATAGTTTTGGCCATTCTCCTAGAAGCCAACGTGTGGGAGTAATTAGTTCTGTATGTTAGTTCGACTGCTTGTTACAGGTTGAAACTTCTCTCGGAGAAACGGTTCGTGTCAAATAGAACTTATTAAGCTTCCGTGCACCGCCAATTGCGCAAAGTTGAATTGTGCAAGAATTTTGCCACGAAAGTTCTGCTGTAGGTAATCATTTACAGTCTGACGCATTCACCTTGCACAGAACCAGGGTTACACCCCTAGTTCAATCTTTTGCATCAACAGCTGCGCGCAAATGCACTGAGTCATTCGAGTGCCCAAACCATAGACACTGGCGAACGAACTCACTATGGCGCAATGGCGCACTGCATGGAAACACGACGAGCGCGCATGAAGCAGCGGCAACCAAAACTCGATTCTAAACCAGTCGTTATGGCAAACCTTGATGACATATCGTTCGACGCGATGCATCGGACGTCGCAATTTGAGGGAAGCTTGCATTTCCCAGTGGGCCCCATCCCATTTCCCGCCACTTAGTCCTTTGGACGCCATCCTTCTGAGGTAATGCACATGCGCACGCACGTGCGAAGGCGAAAACGAGCAGTCTCTCCTTTATTCCTCCTTACCTCTGCCCCGTCTTAAATCAGCTATTCAGAAAGGATTTTATCGATCAACAGACTAAATTGCATTATATCTGTTTTGCATTTAACTCCAAACCTGGTCACCTCAAATATGGTTCTATTCTCCTGACAATTACCACAGCGACACCTTGGGCACCAAACGCAATGCACCTCCCTGAGGAGCTTTCGATGTTGCCCTCAAGGGCATGAGTTTGGGAAAGCCCTCAGCAGTCGAGACTGGCAGACTGTTTTTGATCGTTGCAGCGCAGCCACAGCGACAATCTGCAAATTGAATTCTCAGCTGAGCGTTCAATACATAAGTTTATGCTTTGCCTTGCAAACACTAACAATCTACCGAAGGGTGGAAGAGACTCTCTCGATGTCCGGAGACATTACCGCAGTGGCCATCAGCCTTGAAAGCTAGTAGCAGAATCCTGCAGGAATTCAGGAATCCCGATCTCCCAGCTAGGAGACAGACGTCCACCTGGAGTGACAAACGGACTGAGCATTCCTGAACGATCATCATCAACCAGCAATTGCCTTCTGGCCTCCTCCTGACTGCAGCCGGCCACTTCAGCGACTTGGCCACAACATGCACCATTCCTTTCCTCACCGACGACGCGCAACGTCAGTCCCCCCAAACTCCACACCGACACCCCAGCCGCCATTTCCCGGCCGCCCTCCCTCACACCGCACGCAGTGCGCACAGGCCGTCTGGGACGCTCGTGCGCACTCCCACACCAAACACTGCTGCGGCGGAAAGCGCCTCATCGCCATGCTGGTCTACGCCCCCCGCCCGTTCACCGGACAAACGCAGCCGCCTTCAATATCTAATGCCTCCACAGTATGTCGTATCCACAGTACACCACAGCATGTCCACCCAGCTCAATACACCGTATCCATCCAGCTCACTATACTACATCTGGCCACCGCACTATACTACATCTGGCCAGCTCAGTTCACCTTATCCCTCAATACTCGGCCGCCTGCCCGGCCCCCAGCAGCCCGTGCACCCTCCTCCTCCGCCTGACCGAGCACCCCCTCGAGCACGCCAGGTCCGCCGGCGTCCTCATCCTCTTGTCCCTCGCCCCGGCGTCCGCCCCTGCCGCCAGCAGCAGCCGCAGCACCGCCACTCCTCCACGCCTGGCGGCCCCGTGCAGCGCCGTCTCCCCGCCCCCATTCCGCGCGTCGACCTCAGCGCCGGCCGCGATCAAGATTTTCGCCACGCCCGCAGCGTTCGATCCCGCGGCCTCGTGGATCGGCGACCTCCCGGCGCCGTCCCGGCCGTCGGGATCCGCCCCGGCGCCGATCAGCGCGGCGGCCACAGCGACGGACCCCCGGGCCCCCGCAGCGTGCAGTGGTGTTCTGCCGGCATCATCCGCCGCGTTAGGCTCCGCGCCGGCGCCCGCCAGCAGCGCCGCAATCCCCGCTGATTCAGCGACATGCAGAGGGGACCGGCCGCGACGATCCCTGAAATTGGCATCGGCGCCGGCGGCTAAAAGAACCGACGCCGCGGCTTCGGCACCGGCGGAGGCGGCGTAGTGCAGCGGGGTGCGGCCCAGGTCATCCACTGCGCTCAAATCCGATCCAGCCCGGATCAAGATTGCCGCTACTCTTGATGAATCCCGCCCAGCCGCCGCGTGCAATGGCCCCGCTCCCCGGTCGTCGCGCGCCTCGATATCCGCCCCCGCGGCGATCAGTGCCCGCGCAGCCGCATCCGTGTCATCCCAAGCCGCATCATGCAGCGGCGTCTCACCGGACCTGCTCCTGGCGCTGGGGTCCGCCCCGCCGCGCAGCAGCGCTCGCGCCACGCCGGGATTGGCGATCCCCGCGGCAACATGCAGCGGCGACCGCCCCAGGTCGTCCAGTGCGCTGACATTCGCCCCGGCGCCGATCAGCTCCTCGGCAACGGCCAGGGCATTCACGCTAGCCGCCTCGTGCAGCGGTCTGCGCCCAGCGTCGTCCGCGGCATCCAAATCCGCCCCAGCGTCAATCAACATCACCGCCACGCGCGCAGAGTCGCCAAAAGCCGCTGTGTGCAAGGGCATATCTCCAGTCTGGTCCCTTGCGTTGATTGTCGCTCCCGCTGAGATCAACGCAGCCGCGAGATTGATTGCGTCGCGGAGGGCCGCGTCGTGCAGCGGCGCACCGCCCACGGCGTCGCGGGCATCCACGTTCGCTCCCGCGGCCAGCAGAGCCTCAGCGACGCCAGGGTCGTCCCAGATGGCCGCCACATGGAGTGCGCTGCCGCCGAAGGCGCTGCAGCAGGCGTCGGGGCTGGCCCCGGAGGCGAGGAGGGCGGACACGGTGCGGCCGCCCTTGAAACCGCGGGGCGAGCGGACGAGCGACAGCAGGACCTGCGGAGGAGTGGGGCGGGTGGTCTCAGATAGGAGTCGAAGTTTACCCGCGTGTGTGTTGGAAGTTACGCGGCGGTCAGAG